ATTTCACGTACATTAGATACGAAAATTAGATACGCTTCATTTCACGTACATCAGATACGCTTCATTTCACGTACATCAGATACGCTTCATTTCACGTACATCAGATACGCTTCATTTCACGTACATTAGATTTCACGTACATTAGATACGAAAATTAGATACGCTTCATTTCACGTCAGCAATTCGAAGGAAACAATGTGAAATATTGCGCCAGCAGTAGAGAGAATACGTAATTATATTAGTTCGGAGAAAGAATAGCAATACTGTAGATATAGGACAATTTTCAGATGCCGTCTATTCACATATTCGATCGCAAAGTGGGAGTGAGATAACCGTTGATGCAAATGCGAAAACGGCAAAGAATAGCAATACTGTAGAACTTGGCCATATTGCTCAACAATTGTATATCATCAGAAGATTGATATTTTTCGTGTTCTTTGTGATTTACATCATTTCTATACCAATTTGCTTGTTCTAATTTATTTTATGTTGCATTTCATGTGGTTATAGCTATTGAATAATTAACGCTATTTAAAAGTTTGAATTAAAATTTGATCCATTTATTTCAATCTAATTCATTTTTATTCAGATTCTTTAATTCAATTATATCCAGTTTTCTTCAACCTATTCAAACTTATTTCATGTTAATTTTCTCCGGCGTAATGCAATTAATCTTTTCATCTCTATGCTTTACTGTCTTTAGTTTATTTAAACATTTCCATAATTAAGCAATTTATTATTATAATGAAAATGGTCTTTGCAATAGTAAATTAATTTAGAGCTAGTCTGACTACTTCCAAAATACATGTCTCGATTCCCATGTGACGTTCCAAAAGTCAACAATTTTGATTTATAGTACTTACGAAGAAAATGCAGATGAAAACAGGTGGTTCGTGGTAAAAAGTCCTCAGCCTCTATCTCACTAAATCAAGAGTTATGCCACGTGAACTAGGGTTATATGATGGAAGTGCAAAGTAATGTTAAATAATTATCACTGCAAATTCACAATTTTGAAATCTAAAATTTAAGATGAAACACAACAGCATTGTAAAGTAATTTCATTATTTATTATCATGTACTAATTTCACTTGCATAACTTGTAGATTTGTAACTACTTTGCTGTGCGACTATTGTTTTACAGTTGAACCCAAATAACATGTTTATACACACCCTAAACAATGGCTTAATATATTTGTTGGGTCATTCATATGACACATGTCACTTAGTATTAATCTGTACCTAGTTTTCAAATATCCGTTATTTTTCAAAAATATCCCAAATATTCCCATTAGACAAATATTCTCGAGAATTAGCTTCTAGAATTTTTTCGGAATCTATGTAGTTTTAAGTGAACATAATTCATTTTTTTCTTTTACAGTAACAGAAGACTTACTAAAACAACACAATGAAATTTTCGGAAAATTAAATCTTCAGAAATTCCGCAATATGTATAACACGAAAGAAATCGAATCAGCCTGACAAATAAAAATAGCTTTAAGCAAATTGCAGAAATGTAAATGAAGAATTAATGAAAATTTCTAAAGAATAAGAATCAACAAAAAACATTCATGTAAGTGAAAAAACATTTCGAAAAATTGAAATTCTAATGACTCCTAAATGTTAAAATGTCTAAGAACAGTAAAAATCTTATATATGTATAAAATTTATATATATATAAAAATTTACATATATATAAATTTTTGCATAATCTGAAAATTCTAAAAATCCTATATGAAAATTCTAGGAAACATATTTAATATGTATTATAAATGTAAGAATGGTATACATGAACTAATGTTGAGATTGATGATATCAACAAAAACTAAATTACTCGGAAATCCACGTTAATTCATTTAAGTAATTATCTCTAACATTATAATTCCTCAAAAGCCTAATAATTCATAAGAAATTATAAAACGTTTGCAGAGACCATAGCTTATCAATACTTATTAAAGATACTGCAATATACATAAAGGTCTATTTTTCACGAACTAAATATTTCTGCGCTTTTCGAATCAAATCCTGCATTTCTTTGTATTGCGCCAACACGATGGCTTCATCGGCCGATAGCCATCTGCCGTCTTTATGCTCACCTGATAATCTAATTTCTTTATTATCTTTCAGCTTTGCTAACCAATATTTGACTGTTTTCTGAAAAAAAAGTGAATACTGATGAAAATATTCCAAAATTCAACATGTTTCTAGATTCGTATTCGTATTGTGAATGTTCATTTAAATAAAATGAACGATGATTGCAACTATAATATTACCAAGAATAAATTCAGAAATTTCTCACTTGTTTGTTAACCTCTTCTCCATGTTGGTTACTTATTCCCACTACATACTTCAGAACTTCCATGAAGTCCATATGTATATCCAAGTTATCGGCCGCAATTCCGGCTTCTTCAAAGGTTTCGCGTAATGCAGCCGACCATTCGTCTTCACCAGGATCAACATGACCTCAACAAATTGCAATAAATTTTGTGTGTAACAAGACTGCCAGCCTTCAGTCGAAATTCCACCCAAATGATATTTTAAAATCCAATTTTGAGCACTTCAGTTCGGATTTTGCCTAAGGCTTAATTACGCTAATAATGAAAAATTAAATCTACAACTTTCAATGCCAACATTCGATAATTTTTTTTTCATTCGATGTCTTAAAATTAAATTCAAATTAGAGTGAAACTGTATTAAAATGCATGGTGAAAATCAGGAAACGAGTTTCCTGAAATTTATGTAGTCTTACCTAAGAAATATGCAACAAGTTACGAGCATGTATCACTTGTAGTAATACAATATTACTTGAATAATCTATCAAAAGATTACGTGAAATTAAACGAGGTGTATCAAGTATGGCGCGCTTAAGAGGAAAGAACAATAAGCTGCACGGATCCTTGGTATTGTCAAAAATCTAACTGCAATAAAAGCGGAATAGCACTAAACCAACGTGTGGCTTTTATGGAAATAAATAATCAACACAAACAACAACCTTTCGGTGGAGACCAATGATATGGAGAATAAGATGCTTGCAATAATAAATATTCGATTTGACCAGCTTTATAACGATAAACTAGCATACCCGCAGCACGTATAACATCAGCCATCATATGGATATGTGAAAAAATAGCGTGAACTTCGATGGAGCGACGCGAAGTACAGAATCGACCTCCAACGAAAAGCAATTGCTCACCTTTGGGATAAGCAGCATCTGCCTGACCGACCAACCGCAAAATACAATCTTCAAAATTTAGACGGAGATTGAAACAGTTTCAAATTTCAAATTTTTCTTCCAAAGCTGTTTTTCTCTTCCCTTGTTTTCCCATATTGGGGTCGTCCTGTCTTTTCTTTTGTTTTCCCAAATTGAGGCACTATATCAATAATCTTTTCCAATAGTAACTGACACTAAGTCTCTAGAAGACAAATTACCATCATCTTTTAAAACATAAGCAAGTATTTTATCAACCTATTAGATTGTATTGAGATTTTCCGATGTATAAACCTAACTTTCCATTTCTCTTTTCTCTTGTTGTGTTATGCAGTTCGTCTCTTTTCTTATCTTTTCATTCCTTTATTCTCTTTCCTTCCCCTCTTCACTGCGAAGAAGTCCCAAAATATGTAATAGTGTCCGTATATTTTCCAACTTTCTAGAATTGATTTTTGAATAAAAATTTTAAAAATTTTGACAAAAGAAGAGCAAAATTTCCAATAAATTTTGTCGTAAATTTCAATGAGAATATTTAGTATTGCGAGATAATAGGTACTATATAATAAATAGGTAATATTGCGAGATAATAGGATAATAGGGAGATAATGCTTTTGTTTCGAAATGATTTATAGTTAGTATTTAACATCAGTGTAACTGTTAGCGCTCAAAACTCTGGCTTCTGCAATTAAAGTTCAAGCGTCTCCGGGACTTCAGTATTCTAAAGCCTTTAACAGTTTACAAATTATTATTTATGGCAAATCAGTATAAGTGCATAAGTTCACCTGACTCTTATATTTTCTGAAGTCTTAATAAATCGATCAAATAATTGCAAAGTAGAGCGAGAAGGTCCCGGGGAGATTTGAACTCCCGTCGCAGGATTCAGAGTCCTGAGTGCTGACCACTACACCACGGGGCCCTCATTTCGAGTTTCTAATCAATCTCAATGAAAATTCAACATTGTCAGCATTTCGAAAATTTCATACTTCCATCGTTTCCGCATTCAAGAAAAAACTTTACATATATTTCTTCATGTATTTCTTGCGCTTGGACGCCAACAAAATTGAGCAAATAACCTGTGGCAAGTAGAACAAAATGCTAAAGAAGCTATGATTTAAATTAACATACGTCATGCATTAATAAACGATGATCAAATTTGATAGGACTTTAGAGCATTTCACTTAGTATTATGACTAGAGATATATACAGTTGACAAGCAATAAGAATAATAATCCGAAATGTGAGCTTATTTTCTCAATCAGATTTCCCTGCAATAATTTCTGTTTTAACTAGCTGCCAAATGTTTTTTCTGAATTTCTCTTTTGCTCAACTGAAGCAAAAAACTCGCCTCGATTGTTGATTACTTATATATCAACTCATATTTCTTGCGGAGAGGAATTCTTGCAAACGTCAGTTAGATTTTGGAGTTCAACTTCATGCTTCATACGTGGAATATTTGTATCACTAATGAAGTCCAATTTTACACTATGGCATTATTATTGATTAAGTATGATAAAACTAACTTAATGACAAGATTTGTTCCCGAAAATAAAGCAGATAGGACGACTTCGAAAACTTTCATGGTGGAGAGTTTCCCGGAACCCTAAGTTCGCTCCTATCCATTCGGAGGTTATTGTGGCATTTTTCGTTTCTTATTTCAACCAAAAATTGGTGAATGAATTTTTTCGATTATTAGCAGCTCCTCTTCACACTGGTATAAAGAAATTTCATTTTTTTCTCTTGATTAATATATATATGAAACAATTAAGACGGACAATTTTTTTCTTTATAATTGCGAAACGATTTCTAAATTTTAGGTCTCAACTTATTTGTCTTAAGCGATGTTTCGAAATTTTACTCAGGTTATCAATTTTCTGATTTTTTATTCTACCTCAATCTTTACTTATAAATCTTCGTTTTCTATAAAACAAGGCTGCTAATTAAGTGGTAAATTTAGAAGTTACGAGCAACATAATAACAACTTTATCTTAACAAATAAAGCAGATTAGGTTCTGATCAAAAAGAGGTTTCATGAAGATGCATATGCGAAATTCATGATATCCTCCAAGAGATATCAGGAAAAAGTCTGTAATTCAAGAAAAAATCTGTAAAAAAAAATAGAATCGGACATAAGTTTTTCCAGATTGAACTTAACGAACCTAAGCTTCAATTTAAATTTGTGAAGACGCTACTTCTTACAATAATTTCAAGTCTTATTGGGAACTATAGCTTTTTGTTTCAAAAGAACTGCTGGAGATTTCGTACAGTTTACGTTCCGTTTCAAATCTTGCACGCAGCTATCATGTAAGAAGTTACTGAAAATAAGGTCTGTACAAATGCTCATATTGATAAATAAACGAATTTACAAATTTAAAAAATAGGTTGGAAATATTACGCAAAAGAAATTAAAAAAAGAAATTAGGTTGCATAAATAGGAGTTTGGAAACAGTTTCCGGACTGAAATCTGCAAAAAATTCTAAGGTGAAAAATTTCCTAGTCTAAAACTAAGTTTCATGTGGCATATTGTAAAATTCACCTTTTTGTATACTTGGATTACGGCGAAATAAATATTTTGGTACTATTTTTTAAAGAAGAATATAAAAAATCGATTTCAAAAGATGGCTGCAAAAAGCATTCTGCATTCGTTCAAATTGAATTATCATTTTTGAACGAATGCAGAATGTAAAAAAAGTATCTCCCAGAAAATTTTAACAGTAATCGGAGCAGTAATAAATCATTCAGTTCCACCATCGTTATTCATTCCATTTATTAATTCAACAATCCAAATACCATCTGAATTACGCTGTTCTTTGAATAATATACGCATCAGCTGTCCAACACAAGGTATTTTATTTACATGGTAATTAATCGTTTTAACCAGTTGCGCTTCATTCAAAGAAGCCAAAATACACGGTACTGCCAGAGCAGGTTGAGTACGAACGTTTGGAGACTGAAATATTTGATGAGTGTGGCTCAGAATTTAGGTTCTAAACCCGAGCAAAGTGGTCAAGAAAAATTATAACAGTAACTTGATACGGACAATATTGTAAAACTTGAATACACTTCGCCAACTTATTACTGATTACCAACGGTTTCAAACGAAATTTACCAAGTCTTCTGTAGACCATAATTGATTTCGCGGGATAGTTTCCATATGTCCATCGTCAATGTGTCGTGCACATACAAGGTTTTCAGTGATGCGCTCAATAACTGCTCTAACTTTAGTTCGTCTAAGATCATTGCATTCTACTACACAAAGTACACCAATTGCCTGCAAATATACTATAATAATGGAAAAGGAAGGAATTGTTTAATGTATCTTTCACAGCACTGTTACAGAATTTCTTTCTGCAGAGTTTCTATAAACGTCAGTTGTTGCTGTAACATAGTGAAATTTGATTATTATCAATCTAAAAGAAAGATAAGTGTCAATGCAAGTAAAAGTAACAATTCCATTGGCATTCAGTTTCTGTGTCGGATATAATGAACCAAAACACTCGGCAGATATATCTTGTAATGCTGTGGTCGGAACTACAAAAAATACTGGCCAATCAGCATCACTACCGACTCTTCGTACCATCAATTCACTTCCATCAATGATACTGACAAGCTTATGATATACCTGAAAACCCAGATCCGTAAATGTGGCACAAAATAGAACACTGCTGGTATCATAAGTCTGGTATTTTTCTGCCTTTTAGGATAAAGTTAAAGTAAGAATTTTTGAAAATAATTAGCGCTTATTAAATTGCTGGATCTTTTTATAGGAGCATCTATTGAAGAATCTCGATATGAAAAAAACGCTATGTATATTGCAGCCAGAATCACCACACCTGGTAAGTTGGGAATGACTGCAGTTCATTGTTTTGATGCAGGGAGGTTTGTGGTTGTGATAGCGCAAACTGAAATCAATCTAATTTCTCACCAAAAGAAAAATGATATAATTTGTAACAAAATTAAGTAAATTTTCGAAAAATCAAAAGTTTCATGAAACAAGAAATACGATTTCCTGTTCTCCATAGTTGCTCGTACTAATGCATAATTGGCTGTAATCGGCTGATTCATTGGAAGCATAAATCGGTTTTTTAATCAAACTTGTATGTGATGCATCGGATGCCTGTGAACATTATGACATGAGTGGATGAAATTATTTGAAAATAAGCTAAGACGAAAGCACTGTTCTTATTGCAAATGGAAATAAAAAACCACTGTATCTCCAACAGCCTTCCGTGACTGTTCCAGTTTTAGCTGCGTGCTTCGTCTATTTGAAAAGTTTGATACATTATTTGTGTATTGCAAAACCGCACTCAGCGACCGTTCCGGAAAACTGCCTTGAAAAAAATTTTCATTATAACATATCCGATTTACATCAAAATTACTCATGAAAATGCAAAATATAATATCTATCGAATTAAATTCCTAGCACTTACCATGTGATTGTTTCCTAGCAGTATTACAATAATCACTGATTGTTCGATGTGGCGGTTCTCCATATTCTAATTTACGATGACAGCTATCCCAAAAAGAATCCGCTGATACAGAAACTTTGTAATCTAAAACAAAAAAATCAAAAAATCTTACTAGATTTCGATACTACTAGTAAGTTCTAATTATTATCCATTTTCTCAAAGTTTTTGATGCGTTTACCATAACATGTTAGTTTTGATTTGGATTTAAAAGAAAGAATTTTTTATAAAATTATAAGCAACTAATTAAGCATAACGCTGAACTAAATAAGCAGATAGCAAACAAATAATAGGGAAAAAAAGAAAAACTAAGTGAAGTATATTAGAATATAGACTTAATGTATTTTGAATAAGCAAAAAAACTGAAGTTTATAAAAACATGGCAATTTGCACTTGAATTGAAATTTATAGAATTTGTTTTTGATTTAGAATAATAGCCCATAAAAAATCTGAACGTTTCTTATTTTTCGAATTGAGACGAAGTAGAGGTTGAAGTTTGTTATTATGTGGTGAATATCCATTGTTACTATTCGAGGAAGTATCGTTGAATAAAAATGCCCGTGCTGTTTTGGGTGATGCAGCTCGCCGTTTCTTGGGATGAAAATGCCACTTTTCAGGGGTGTCATGCTGCAATGATATTAAAAAATTTAACTCTATTCAAGATCTAGTTTTTGAAATCTTAAGTTTACTCCTGAAATTTCAAGACCATTTAGAACTCCCAAGAATTTCAGGAAAAGTAGAAATTACATAAAAAAATAAACGAACTGAATTCCTCATAATCTACGTTTTTTAAACGATTGATTTTTAAATCTTGGTAAAATCTGATGCTAACTTTATTCATATATGAATATAAGTTTGTTAAACCACTCTAAATAAATTAAATTAGCATGTTAAATCACTTATGAGTATAGGAATTATTACATCGTTTATATTCCTGTTGCATTTCGGAATTCCAAAATAACAATCATTCTTTGCATTCGAAAATGATACTTGTGCATCCGGCATATAGGGCATCGAAGAGCGCATGCTATTCCTAAAATGAAATGTTAAGAAATTTTGAGCTTCTAATCTAGGATGTGTGAAAATTTTTCAATAGATTAGAGAAATTATCAGAAATGAATATAAATAAACTAGCTAATAACCACAAAAGCCGAACAATACTATAGTTTGAAATTTGCATAACTAAATATTTGCGAATTCGATTTTTCTCTGCTTTAAAGAAAAAAAGAACGTTGAATTATTCCAACGAGTAAGTCGACTTGTCCCTCTCGCCCACTAAGGCGTCTCTTTTAGTTATATGACTCTCACAGAAGGAATGATTACATGGGTGGGATGTACTACTACAAGTTGAGAAAGTCAAAGAAGTATTGACTCCTTAACCAGCTGCTTAATAAAACTTTGGAGTAAATATGTTCTTTTTGAAAAAGAACTCCAACTAAGTTTTATTATCTTGAAAAAAAAACTCCAACAAAGTTTTATTATTAACAAGTGTGTGGCTACATTACTTCCGACAACACATTGTGGTTAATAAAAATCTGTTAAGACCCCATTTGCTCGTACGGTCGATTGCATTACTTTGTGGATGTTACAACTCCCGATGTGTGTGGAGCCGGAAGAGAACATGGCCATTGAGGTCTCCATGATTGGTTTACAGCGACTTTCTGTTGCTGTTGTGGTATACTTGTTGCATCATTACTATCGTACCCGTTTCCGTGTTGACTATAACCTTTTGTGATAGGAGCATCACAATAATTACTTTTATCCTGTTGCGGACAGAAACCATCCTACAAAAAAGTTCGCATGTTGAACACCTTTTCTAATCTGAAATCAGAGAAGCTACTAAAAAAGCAGATGATGAAAATTTACCAATATTTATGGACAAATGCGCTGAAAGAAGGCTTTTAATAGCTTTTCTTTTCATCAAATCAAAACACAACAAGCCGTGACAACGACAAATGATAAGATTGGCAAATGCTCGCCCTCTTGTATTCCACTCAATAGCTATTCTTTAGAAATTAGTAAATAGGACAGAAGCCTTGCTATTTTGATTGGTTTTGGACTAAACTAGCAATTAATTAACCTTGAAAAGACAAATTGATTAAGTCCTTTCCTCATAAATTCTCTGCAGACCTAAATAATACATACCGCTTTCAAAAAACTTGAGTTATTGGAAGTAACCATATCCAGTTTTGCTGATATATCACACAGTTGCATTTGCAGTGCTATCAGCTGTAATTCTTGTTCTCTTTTGATGCTAAAAAAGAACACACAATTGCTCTAACTTAAGATTAGTACGGAACTTGAAATAGAAATTCGAATTTTAGATGTCAGCGGTAAATCTTTAACTTATAATATTTTCTGGTACAAAACAAGTCCAGAATTATCTGTTAATAAATATTAAGCTCTCTTCTATTTTTCAAAAAAAAACAAACTCATAGTTCATTCACATAATTTCATTTCGGTAACAGACCTTTCGTTTGCAAAATTTTCTTTCTCCTTTTTCAGCAATTCTTCCTGTTCATATAACCGCTCTTCTTCCTCATGCAGTTCCTCTTTTCGTTGTTCAAGCTTTCTAATGGCATCTGTCTTCAGCGCACTTTTAATATCAAAAAAAAATTTCAATGAAAGCTTCATTTAGCTTTTAATAAGCAGAATCTCTAATTTAACTAATTAAACTTAAGAGAAAAACAGAGCACTGTATAAGTCAGAGCTTTCCTCTTTATGTTTTTCTTTGGACTTCTGCAGTAGTTTTATAATTTTTATCTAGTTATTTATTTTATAAAGCTATTTATGAAACTACAATTATTGTTTTAGTTATTCAAACTATACAAAAAGATGAAAAAACATATCAAAATAATGTAGTGCAGTAAAAAAAGAGGTTGAGATACCTTGTGGTGCAATGTCGATACTCATTCCTTCATTCATGTTTTTTTCCGCATTAGCTTCTTTGTTTACTCGTAGCTTCTTGTAATAAAGTACAAAATCTGTATCCAATAATGTTACTTTTGCCCAATACAAATCACGGGCACATTTTAATGTTAAACAAACGTTGTAATCATTTTCATCAAGTAACTGAAAAAGCTTACATTGTTCGGTTATGATCTGACTAAGAAAAACTTCAAATGCTAATTTTCTAATTTTATAAAGTAACGCAAAATAAGCATGAATAAAATAACATTGGCTTACCCTTATTCCTTTATTACCATTCTTTTTGGATGGTGAAAACCTCTTCACTCGACACCGGAATGATGCTGTTGGCTTTTCAAGAACTTCAACGGGCTAAAATTTTTCACTGCCTACTAAATTTTGTTTAGTCCCAACCATAAAACTACGTTAATGAAAAATAGTAGTAGTATTTACGGAATTCCTGTAAAATAAGTTGAATATGACATGTATCATTTATAGCTTCATTCATATTCATCAAATAACATTACACTAGCACTATTTCCATAATTTATTACCAGAACTGTTAGAATACAAATATAACAGTCTTAACTAATAGAGGAGAAGCTATTATCAGCTCACTTCACTTTATGGCTAGATAATCGTTTTGGAATTATTTGCCTACTGATTAAACCATTTTTGGCTATTGCCACAATGTATTCAAATTCAAGGAACAACAAAACCAACCTGATCCTGAAGTTCAAACAGATCTGACATAGTGCATACAATCGTCTGACCGAAATCAACAAGTAATACTTCACAGGTGTTATCATCTGGCCGGTAATGGCTCGCTATTGCTCTAAATAAATAGAGCACGGCTAAAACTAGAAAAAAACTCAAAAAAAAACAACTGAAGTTTTCAAGCTTTCTTCCGAAATTAAGCGGAACTAAAAAATGAATAACCAGCTGAATTACCATTGCTAATAAGATCAAGAAAAAAATAAATGAACGCTCAGTACTTGGATAGTAAGCGATTTCTGCAAAATGCCTACAGAATCGTTTCTGTAGACGGTAACACTATCATTAATACTACTAATACTATTAATAGAAAGGAGCACTGAAAGATCAGTGTACCATCAAGATGATACATTGAACATCAATCACCTGAATTATCTTATCTGCAGTAAAAATTTCACGTTATCTAACGGAAGCCAAGTCACTCAAGTACCTGAATATTTGCGGCTGAAACGATGAACCGTTTGACCGTGCTGGGCGGATTAAGCGAGCTATACAACAAATACCACGATCTAAGCACAATCGAGATGTTAAAGGAGTTCTCGCCATTACCATGCGCTTAAAAAAACAATCAACTCTTCACTTTATTTTATTAATTTTTCACTTAATAAACCAAATCGTAGCTACTTTAAACTTCTAAATATTTGGAAATTGGAACGCATTTTTTCAGACAGTGTTTTTTACTGCAGAGATAGATCACTATAGATATTCAAACATTTAGTCCTCCCTTCATTATTTTAGCATAATATTTATTACTAGCAGTAAAAATATAAAACTTTCGACGATTTATGATATACTTCATTGAAGCTGAAAAAAAGTGCAATAAGATAAAGAGTTTATCATGTACTTCCTTCATTAAGCAATACGTGAAACATGATGCAAAATGAATCAGCCTCAATTTTAAGCAGATCTGAATTTTGCCAAGTTATTCTGAATGTACTGAAGACATGCAAAAAATCAAAACACTTCAACTATGAATAGTGTATAAAAACAAACTTTTGTTAGATCATCGAGTATTTCAGGATTCCTCATCAAATAGGTATCGTAATCTAAACGCTCAGTTACTCGTGCTATTAAACGAGCCGGTAATGAAACATTGAATTTTTGAAACATAAATGGCAAGGCTGGACCTCTAGTTATCGCTGGTATTGATGCACTTTTTACCACCAATGCCCGGCATCGACGACGAGGCATACTGCTACTAATACCACCGTTAATATTAATACTCTGTAAGTACAAAAAAATCACTGAAATTAAAATTTAAAAAAAATTCTAAAATTCGAAAGAGAAATATCCACCGTTGTTTTGTGATATTATACAGCATTAAAATTTTAATTTTTAGTATCAACACATATCTTTAATATGTAACCCAAAAATGAATTGAACAGAGACCTAAAATAAGAGCAATGAATGAGAAAAGACGAAGATGGAAGAAATTGAACAAAATTTGTGAACATTTCTAGTAATGAAAATTGTGGGAGAAAAAAATTTTTAATATTAGAGAAAAAAAAAAATTTTTTTTAATATATATAGCATGGCTAAGATGTTCAAGACTAATTTATTCTGCTGGAAATTTCTCCTAAAACTCTTGAAATAGAAAATTAATGGATCAAAGACAGGAATACTTCTTCCTGTCTTTGGGAGATCACATACATAAATAAAAGAAACATTGCGCTTAAAGTTCCTCGAAGTATTAAAAAATGTAATGCAGAGCAGAATCATGCCCGTCTCGCGCCTCCCTCCCATATTCCAGTAAATTCCATGAAAAGTATATATATAAGTATATAAGTATGCAAATAATGCTTATGTATAAATATCCATATTATCTATATCGTCTATTTATATTTTAGTTCTCTATAGAGAATATCGCCTATTTATATATAAGTTCTTAGTTCACTATAGAGATCTGTTTGGAAGAGAACCTTTCTACTAGCAACTGATTCAAGACCACCAACTCATTTGCAACATTAGATCAGCAGGTTCCCAAAAATCGAGTCTTATCAGTAACAGGAATTAGAGGAACTTCCGAAATCTTTTCAACTGTTTGGAATACGGTAATCTATTTGTGGGTGAAGCAGGCTGATGCTGGCTTTTACTGGAATACTTAAAACTTTCAAAAAAATCGATTGATATATTTCAAAATAATTGGACAGTCCTGCTAAGTTATTTATAAAAAAAATCAAGCTTCCAATAACCAAAATATTCTTGAAATCTACTATTTGAAAAAAAAAGTTTATATAATCTATCTCTTACCTTCATAGCACATGTGACCTCAACATACTTTCCATCCTCATTTTTCTCGTATATTTGCGATACGATTGCTGGCGGGTACATTTCTTTTGCTCGTTTAGGATAATCTGAGGGAAATTCATTACCTTAAATGAAAGAATTTTCAAAAAATAGTCGCACGCTGAAGCGCTTGGAAAATGACAAAAGGGTCTGTGAGCTTGTTCGAAGTTGATACAGAATAATCTTATATTTTGTAGTCTTACGTGTCTAATATCTTATATGAATAGCACAGAATCGAAAATGATAGGAAACTGCAATCTAACACAAAATTTGGCAAAAAACTTACAAATTTTAATTATGCAAATCGCTCCTTCTTTCAAGAATGCAAATTCTTCGCATTTTTTTGCATTACAACGGGATTCCAAGATAATACGTAGGCAAAGAGGCGGCACATGATGTAAAGATGGTAATAATTCGCATATATCATTTGCACTTATGTTATACACCTCTCCAATATCAATACCATACATCTAAAATCGTGGGGTTTTTGAAAATCTCTTTTTAATCAGTTGAAAAATTTAAATTTCTTTTTAATCAGTTTGTGGAACGGTTTATATTATCAGCATTTGACCTTTCTTTTTCTTTTAATCTATTTTACTGAAAATACTGGCACACTAATTGTGTTAGAAAAATGATTTATAGCCTTCTGAGCTTCTTTGGGAATTAACAACTATATTATTACACCGTATTTTGAAATAATGATGAAACAATACGTTTCACAAACTTATAAAAGTATATTCACCACGAATAACTCTTTAACCAACAAACTGATATGATGGTTGTTATTAAACTAACTTCAGAAAATCCACACAAATTAAGAATTAAATGATTTACCATCATTTAGGTGTAAGACGGAATAATAAGCTAATATTTACCAAAGTAATAAATGTATTTCAAAGCGTACCGAATAAGTCATTGTTTTTTCCCTCTTTAGCAATACTGCTCTTAGATATCCTCTTTTTGTTCTTATCATGTATACTGTACCTTAAATTAATAATTTTATTATCAAAAAATATTTTGCCAAAAATCTGCGAACTACTGCTTTCTAATGAGAAATCGTATTGTAAGAACTAGTCAGTCATGTTCGATAATATATTAATAACCAGCAGTAAATAACCAGAGTTTATCAGATAATTTTAATAAAGCTAACCAATAAAAACATATTAACTGCTGTAAGGCCATGCATCTAAAAAATACTTGAGATTTACAGTGCCATACACTGCAATACTCTTTCATACGTAATTACATTTAGTTAACTTACTCATGCTAAGTGGTTCCGACACAACAAGACGACATGAATCTTTTGTGTAGTCTGCTACCGCAGCGGAGAGCTCACCATATTGATTGTCTATACATAACGGTCTTACATATAAGCATTTCGTTACTGGATCTATTCGGAGAATTCGAACTTCGAAGCAATCATCTACCGGTAATACCAATCCAGCCGGAATAAAATATGTGCTTGCCATTAGATTTACTGTAAATTGATGCAAATTGATGCACGCAAAATTTAAGAAATTTTCAAATCTAATAATACCGCAAATGTTAGAGGAACGAAAACAGCAGAAAAAGCTACAGTTTTGCTAAAGATAAAAGTCGAAAACGGAATGTGAAATTCAAGCGCAGAAGATACTAACTTGATGAACCGTCATGTCGTAGCCAAAGCGCTCGACCATCTGGTGGTGCAGCTACCAAGGATTTACCATCGGAACGCATTTTTCCCATTTTCTATTCAAAATATGAAATGAAGTAATAAAAGTGTACTGAAAAGAGTAATTTCAGGAAATTGATAGTCTCGAATGAAACTGGATTTATATGACTGCTGCTAACTAATGGATGACAGAGTTATCAGGTGGATAACGGAATTATCAGGATTACGCTATTGGTATATGTTTTGGTATTACACTAAATACTAGATTAGTCATTTCTATCGTTTCGCTTATTTCATTCATTGACTTTTGAAATGTAGTCAATGTCTCTGGAAACTTTTTTTCATCTGGAAAATTCCGAAAGAAAAACTTTCAAAGTTCAAAAATAAAAATAATTGAAGCATTGGAAAACCGGACTCTTGCGTACGCTTCCCTGGAAACCCTTTACCTAAAAAACTCTTCTCAATGCTGTCATGATTTTTAGCTGTAAATGCTAAAAGATTGACGAGACGATTTAAAGTTCCGGTTGTTCTCAGAATATCATAGATATTTTGGTTCAATTCGATCTTCTAAACCTTACACTGTGATAAGGAAAAAAAGAAACAAAAACCCACACTGATAAAAGAGCACAAGATCATAAAACCAAGCGCTCCCTAACTATACCACATTAACTAACTGCTCCTGTAAGTCTGTAAATTTACGTGCGTGTTCATTATGGCCTTTTCATTCTTTGCACAATCATATTTACATATAACTAACCGGCTATTGTCCATGCATGTCTGTATATTACATGCTGATTCGCACGTCTGAGATATTTATATTCCGATCAAATTCGTATGCTATCAGTTGTTAATCTGTATTCCGAGTACATGTGCATCTGCATGTCAATACAATTTTTGAAAGGCATTGTTGATGTTAACAAGCTGGAAATTGTTGTGGAATATGCACGTATTACTGCTGTACAGAAACTCTTGTGAAAAATTATGCATGAGTACACAAAAGGATGTATGCGAAATGAGCTAACAGCATGCTTTACGTCTAATGCAAGTGAAAGTTCCCTCTTTACTAAGTTCAAAATTTCACCCCACAAGCTCCAAAAAAAATCAAATTTAAAATTTATTTTACAGATGCAGATGTAACAACTTCTGCAAACAGATTCCGACATGTTATTACATTACTGCAAAATATAGACCCACCCACCCATCGTCCCTGCACAACAATACACACCAATTCTAAATCTCTTAATCAATACGTTGTCAATTAAGATGACCTCCGTTTTTCCATAGCCTTCAACACCTTACGTAAAAAAATAAGCCGGAAGAATCAAAAAATGTTATGTGCATGAAGCAATGGTGGGATTGAAAAAAGATAAGTGCATTTGGATTTAGCAGTACGTTAATGATAGTCAAGTTAACATTCCTAATTCCGTTCTCGAATTCCTTGCAGAAACTGAATGCATGAGTGATATGCAATGCTTAAATCTCAAATAACTTTATTTGAAAAATCAACAACGTACGAAAGTACTACCCGTAATGCGAAGACTGTACACATTGAGCAATTAACATGAAAATCAAATTTTGAAGTACTCGAGAACAATTGGTCAATACCACTCAAAACTTTTCGAGGCCCCTGAGTACCACAAATTTGTGCTCAAATTCTTTTTTCCTTCCCTAAAACTTTTAAAATCTAGAACGTAAATTTCAAATCCTTCATTTCAAACATGAGAATTCTACATTTATCATGTTTCCATTTCGAATTCTTGAATTTCAAATAACGCTTTGAACTTGAAATCAAATAAAAATTTCACATAAACACAAACATCTCAGCCAAGAACAAATATCAAATTCGATAACAACAGAATTAAGAGTTACGCGCAGTAAGTTCAAACCACTGCCTGACCGCATCGCCAATTGTAGCTGGCAGCATGGTGATATGCTCAACAATCACGTAAAATGGGAATGGAAATTTCTGTAAATATGGAATGAGATTCACATTTCCGTCGGCTGTAAATTCAGCAACTTTCATATCCATGATTGACTTTTCGCTATTGTCGATTGCCACAAAAAGTACTGTAATCTGGTCAACATGTAATTCGGACACAGCCTGAAATGGCGTTAGATTTTATCACTTCGATTTTTCAATGCCAATCCATAAAAACAGGGAATTTGAAAATCTGTAATGTCTTACATATAACAAATCATGAAATGAAAAGATTAATTAGAACCGACTTTTTTTACTGCCTCAGCGCCATCCACCAGCACTCCTCTGCCATCCGAAACAATAATCAACATCTGGTCGTTCTTTTCGCGGCCTCTAGCTTGCTCGAAGATCTAGAAAGAAAGCTTTCTTCTACGAATCAAAGTGAATCTTAAACTTCAAAAATTTAAATTCTCGAGTCATCATTAGAATAGTTATTTCCCCAGCAAAAACTCTAGTAAACTCTAACCTTCCTGCTACACTTTAACAAATTGACTAAGTCCGTTCGGTCTTGACCAAAATTCAGCTCGTTTATTAATTTTCCACCCAAGTCACTGCCACCGTAATCTTTGAAGTCCGAAATCACCTTCACCGAACCACCAAATTTGCAGATTGCCAATTGCCCTATTTCAAGTCTTCGTAATCCACTTTCAATCATAGCAACACTTTGACAAGCTTTCTAAAAATGATGGTTTAAAACCACATCAATTATCAACATAAATCACATTGCCCATTCAATACAGCCCTATTTACAATCCTTCGCTGGAGCAATAGCAATATATTTAACAAATGCTTTGCGAGGTAAAATAACGAAAGCATATGAGAAAAAAACGAATACAGTTAGTAGTTATCTGCAACACAATGAGATATCCCGCCTGTTATATTAACTATCGATCAAAAGCCTCAATTTCAACAAATAAAATAGAAAATTACAATTGAAAATAAGTCCAAAAATTCATACCAATTTAATCTGGTTATCGTGCATAGAAGACGAGTCGTCAACAGCAATTAAAATTTGATAATTGTGCTTGGCTTTCTTTGTACGACGTAACCAAATTTTGTTTTTCCTATAACCGCTAGCAATATATGCAATCAAACGACGCATATTGAGCCTTTTACCTGTTCGGTAATCACCCCTGAAAATGTAAAACAGATAAATTCAAAGAAAATAATGACATATAAGCCAGAAAAACTTTAAGCAAATATATAATAAAAAAAACGTCGATATCAATATATCGAAACATAAAATATTTTTCATAAAAATACAGAAAATAATTCTGTATTTTTATGAAAAAACTTACTCAAATCTAGAAGCTAGTGTTGGCTCAATAATCATTCGAAGATTTTCCGAAAGCTCAGCTGCTAAAACAGAAACCGAATCAGAAATTCTATTCCATCGATCTTCTGCATCAATGCTCGACGAATCTACCTTCTCCGTATCCAATGAAGTGATCGTCGAAACTGACTGCTCTACCTGTCGCAATAAAAAATAGTGAATAAATTGTTCACAACCATTATAACTACTAATTTCAAATAATTCTGTTCATTACCAAAATTTACTCTTATTCTGCCTTCTACTCCATGAGGAAAAATATGCGACAGGAGGTATAATTTTAGTGCAATAGGCAATAACTGATGTGTCGGTAGAAAATAAAACTTTAAAAACTTCGGAGATTAGAAACCGTAAGTTACTACTTCAAAATAAAATACAGCTTCTAGCTTAACTCAGTCTCAATACATAAAAAAGCCTTTTACCAAACGATAAAAGTCTGTTGCCGAATGGATAACCGAATTTTGGTAATGGGAATTCAAGACATTAGTTTCGATCAAATCATTCTCGTTCACTTCTTGTTTATCTCCAATATCATCATCTTCCATCATTTCTTCCTCATTCTACAAAATGTCAACTATTCAATCGTGCAATAAATTAGAATTTATCGCCATTATTTGTTGCATGATCACCGGTTTCTCATTGTTAACCGCATCATCATAAATAAGTTTGAGGAATAATTAGAATTGATTTTATAGCTTTCAAAACCGAACGAAATTTTCTGCACCAAATACTACCAAGGAGTAAATTAACGACACACCTGTTCTGCACTTATATTCTTCAAATCCTTTAACTGGTCCCTATTTCCTTTTGAATTCCTTGCTTCCTCTACCGAACTTTTATCGATGACTATTTGTTCGTGTAAACTGCTGTTATTTCCATCAACATGTCCAAATTCAGAGCCTTCTTCAACTTCTTGCTCACCTTCGCCTTTAAAGTGCAAATCAGTATATTATTACTAAATAAACAAATAACTTCGCTGCTTATCGGAATAATTTAAATGACATGGCAGTCTATATGATTAGCAGAAAAAATAAACTGATTAATAAGTTGACAAAAATGAAAAAATCGAAAATTTGTTTGAAGATTAACTTGGAATAGTTTTTTGTATGGCGATATCGGTAATATCATTAGCCAATTTCTTCTCTTTCTCGGATTTCTTGTCATCCTTTTTTATATTTTCTAATTTTTCATTTCCAATATTGTCTTCTTCCGTTTCGTCATAACCATTTTTTCCTTTGCCTTCTACCTTCGCTGTTGAATCACTACAAAAGATATTCTCGTAATTATTCTTAATTATTTTGATCATTAACTTTAACAACATCTTATTTATCTCTTAAAATATCATACTTCTCCTTAATATTTTCATCGTTCTCATCCATAACATTAGGAATTGAAATAGTATCTTTATCCATATCTTCTACCGTATCTTCTACTGCTCCCCTATCCATTCCTCCTGCACCGCCCTTGAGAATTTCATCATCGTCCTCGTTCAACTCTTTCATGGCAGCATCATTTGTTTCGTTCTAAAAACGAGCAAAAGACGAATAATATCCGAAAAATTAATGACGCCAGAAAACAAAATCCCAGCTTTGGAAAGGATAAAAAACATAATTATCCTACCCAATAAATTTAGGAAAAGTATCACGAGATTCATAAGTGTTGCTATAATCTAACTCTATTTCATAAACATTGTTTAACGGCTTATAGACGTCTAAATATCACAGTAAATGAATACCAAGAAATCTTCACGCATTTTCTTTTCTTCATTTTCAGTCATTTCTGTTATCGTTTCCTCTCCAACATCATTGTTCGATTGGTCATCAAACTCATCTAGTTTATCATTCATAAGATTTTCTACATCTCCTTCTGAGTCGTTTTCACTGTGATTACCATCATTGTAACATTCATCAGTTTGGGCATGATTCTCATTATCCAGACCATTGTCCAGAGATTCACGCTCCACATTCTCCACATCACCATTGTCAATATCATCTTTATTATCATCATCTCCTTCATCATCATCACCGTCAAATGCATCTTTATTACTTTTGTCATTTTTAGAATTCCGTTTACCGTCATCCGCAGTCAAATTTTCTGTTTCTTTATTTGCACCTGGAACAGAACACCTTAAGTTGAGGACACCAACACTGTCAACCGCGCCGTTAAATTGTTCTCTGGTCTGATAATTCAATCACTAGCTATCACTTGAGATAATTTTCTTTCCATCTTTTATCTTTCAGGCAAACTCCTAGTATTTTCGGGAGAGAAAAAAATTCCTAATTTTCCCGTTATAATTGAGAAGAAAGATAAGATGATCCTACTACGCCTCTTACTCGCATTAAAATATTAAATGAAACCTTCGCTGCCGTCAGCAAGTTTTTTCTCAAAATCATCATTCTGATCCCATAAATCGGGATCCAATTTATCTCCTTCACTTTGGTTAACATCCCCCATCTCCATATCTGCTTCAGGTTCATTATCATCATCACTTTCTTCAGCATCTACAAATAATTAATAAGTTTCTTGGACAGATGAATTCAAGATCAAGAAATGTAAATCACTATGACACCATTACATGAACGAATTACTTTTCTGAAACTTCTTGAATAATAACCAGCAAAGAATAACACCAACCACTATGTTGCTTGCAATCAATATCCTCTAGACACCCACCAAAATCGTCACCCATATCAAGCGGTGTACTATCGTTCCTACTTTTGTCTGGTTCCTCACTCTCATTCTCCACGTCACCTCTTAAGCCTTCAACCTGAAAAAAGGATGTTTTAGATATTCACAGGTGATTTCAGAAATTTCAAATCAACAAATTTCAAATCTCAAATCAACAAAATAATATTCTACACCAAATTCCAGATCAAATCTTAGGATTTAAATTAAAAAAGCCATACCTTAACTTTTGAGCATTTGAGAAAAAAGGGCAAAATAAAATGAGTTCAAAAGAATAACTTTTGCATATATTGCCAATGGTCTTTACTTTTCTTATCATTAGTTCCATATAATTTACCTGTCCTGTCTCATCAATATCATCGCCAACATCCTTCTCACCTTTCGCATCTCCCAAACCAGCAATATCGTCATCACATGGCTGCAGTTCATCTCCATCTTTTTCACTGCTTTCTTTTTGGGGCTTTGGTATCGGATTTACATAACCCTAACGAATAACTGATATTATAATTACAAAAAATTAGCAGTCGACCATTTTCCATAAAGCTTGAATTAAATTAAAAACTTAATGACCCTGTACAGCACAAGACATAGATAAATGAAAATGGTGATGAAGTTGGGCGCATTCGATGATTAAATGGATCTTATCTTTCTTTTTTTATTCGTACTCTCAACCACTTTTTGAAAATTACTCAATTATGCAATTATAATCACTGTGTCAGAATAATCTGCCTTATCTCATCCATACATTTAAAGCTTAAAATATAAAACCAAAAAACAAACTTTTTTAAGCAGTGCAGCAGTCATTGCTTCGAATTGCATATAATACTTTGCCAACTCAACTGCGCAATTTTCAACCATCTTCAGAATGAAAGACAAAACTTCACAAAGCGCACTATTTATTGAAGCTATTTGCTTCAGAGGATCACATTCCATTGATCCTTTACCTTCAGATAATCGCGCACACAAATTCCATATTTGTTTAACTGACTAGAAAAAATTTTTTTAGCATCTAATTTGGTTCAGAATTAATTCTCAAAAATTAATTTTTGAATTGAAAAACAGGACATATATTAACAAAAAAAAAATCTTATCTATGGGACAATCTAACTAGAGAAACTACAGTAACTTCAACTCGAATTTGCATAATTTGACTTTCCCATGACCTATTTATTAGTCATTTGCCATACATAATCCAATTAAGCATTTACAACAGATCCCTTTCCAAATGTCAACTGGCCATGTGTTTGGTTTTGAAAATTTAATAACATCAACATATCTAAGGAGACTTTTAGCTATTATATGATAAACTCAAATCTTTCTAACCTTATCAAAATTCACACTTCGTAGCAAATTGATCAGTTGCCTTAGAATATCCATAAAACAGGAATTGTCTAAATCAATTGCCGTTGCTTGCTTGTAAATATTTTGTACTGTGATTAACAAAACTTCAGTTTCCTCCCACGGTATATCTCCAACTGTTTCCTGAACACTTGTTGGGATCGTCAACGCCTTCAATACCCCACGTGAAATTTCCATTATCTCTTCAACTTCTTCAACCATTACACACGAGATGAGAGATAACCGAGAATTTATATCGGTAATTTCCAATTTCACAGTGTTAATGGTTTGCGATATGTCGGAACTGCAAGAGCTTGAATTATAGTCATAAAATACTAAATAAACGAATTCTAGAAGTCCGCCAAAGAACAAAAAACTCTTCCAATAAATGACAATTGTTATACTTCATAGATTAAATGATCAAAACAGTTACAGACAAAGTTAGAAATTTGGAAATTATAACTAATACTGAGAAAATTAATTCTATAACTGAACTTGGAACTTCCATAAAACATTGACCATAAAATTTAACTGAAACTTTCAATTTATACAGAAATCAGAATCAATCACAACGTCCTTATATTTTGTTTGAATTTCCAGCCTGGTTTTATAGTGTCAGTTTTTACATACAACAAAAAATACCAATGAAAAAAAAGAATGGAGGTTTACCTTTTCCAAATAACGACACTTTCACAATCCAATGAATGAAGAAGCGACCATTTAATATTTTCAAGAATTTTTGCTGCCGCATGTTGTACCTTCCTAACTGTATCAAGTGTTACATCATATTCCTGATGTTGTTTATGTAACTGGGAGAAGCGAGTGTCTTGAATGCCACTGAATTTGAGAGGCTGAAAACTTTTTAGTTAATTGAACAAACCAATATTGTATCCCTGAACATTCATGGAAGTCATCAGACCATCGATAAATCCCTGAACACTTATTAAAAAGTAATTTTGAAAAAATTGGAATAAGACACCAACTGCGTTTTCTTCGAAATCAATACTGCATTCCGGAGCATTCTCAAGTTTCGTTCTCATGAATTCCAAAAATGAATTAAATTTAAGCATCAAATATTTCGACTCTTGCAGACGGCGCAACCATTGCTGACCGGACAAGCAAGGTTGTTCTATATCCTATAAAAAGTACGCGAAGAAAACAGTGCAGATAAGATTTTGAATTTGCTTCAGTTAAACAAATTCAATAGTTTTCAAGTCACATCCTCTTGAGTTTTTACCCAAAATTAAATCACTTATATCATAATAAACAGTCGAATGTAGCCCTGTAATATATTAAAGCAAACACAGCTCGAAAGACTCTTCTTTCAAAAGAATGAATACCTTAACATTTTCCAAATAATTCAACAACATTTTCTTAGCTTTATCCATCTTCCCCAGTGTTTCTCTTGTGGTTGCCACAGTCTGATGACATAGGTATAGTTCATTCAGGATAAATTCAGTAATCCCCTTTAACTGGCTCATCGTATTTGAGCCAATTTGAGCATTTGGTTTATGAAAATTCTTCAAGACAATATTTCGTGATATTCCTCCATACCTTATTAACTAAATAAAAAAGTTTCATAACTAGATAACATAGTCATATAAAAAGTAAATCCATCCAAAGTCTTGGCTAAAATCTACTGAACTGCGATACCAACAAATTAGAAATTGAAAGAAACGTGAAATTTGATTTATTTGCCCCATTCATAAAGTTAATAAACTTGAAACTTCGAAAAATTTTGAATAAATATAAAAGATGAATTATGTTTACTTGTTACCTTCAAAAATGGTCACATTTTATGCAATCATATTTACAATATCGAAAAAGAACGATAGTAAAGAAAAAAACTCTTGTCGATTTGCGAAGGATTGTTAACTTTCGAGCACATTAAAATTATCATTATCAACCAGGAACAACTGAAGGGTCCATCCTCACACTAACCCCTTTTGACCTTTTCTCCTTCTCCATAATACCTGCAGCTTAAATTAAACTTGACAGACCTTTGTCAACATCGTATCATCTCCAGGCATTCCAGCAACAACATTAGCTGTTAACTGTTCCGCATTAACCATTAAGCCTTTTCGACTACTTAGACCAAGTGCAGCACTATCCTTGAACAAACGTGCAATTGCCTGAAGTCAGTGAAAGAATTTCAGAAAAGGTGTAATAAATTATTCCAATATCGACAGCAATATTACATCACTGTCATCCTTTGTAATAAATCAGTCAGTGCATGACAAAGTACAGTATTGGATCAGCTGAAGGGTAAAAATAGATACAGTTATATCAATGATTTTCTTATTCGATCACAATTGTCGATAAATTTATAGAGAATCAGACCGTGCACACAATGAGAGTTAATCATTTATTACTTGTAAATAATACCAAATATGCAAATTCCGCTGCATTTATATGAACATTATTATACCTAACGTAGTGAATATGCGTTCCACTACAAAAGCAATTTAGTTTAGATGGTATTTAACTTTATAATTATATCTCTTCTTCACAAATTCTATCTTTGTATAACCAAACGAACTCTGGAAGATGAAAAATATACATACCTTCTGCCGTTCACTCAGTGCACGACCTTGCTTCTTTTCCTTTTCCATATTGTCACCTTCGTATTGAACGTCTTTGTGAATAAGATCATTACAGCACTTGACGAATTCTGTTAACTGAAGCTTTAACACTTTAAAAAAAAGGAAAAATTTTACAGTAAGATGAAAATTTTCGTGATTTTCATATATATATATATATATATATATATGAAAATATCTTTGTATAACTAGATCGACCACACATAATCTAATCGTTTTAAATGGTATAACTATTGGAAAAGATAGCAGAATGGTATGATGGGTGATCGTGCCTGCTATGAAATTTTATTTCGATATCAGATCAAACTGATGTGTTCTAATGTCACAATCGAACACTTCTATATCAAATAATTTATTAATTCTAAGTATTAAAAGAATTATAGGTATACTCAAAAAAACATGACCAAGATTGAAAATACTCAATAGAATAGTCAATATGCATGGTCTACAACTTATTTTCGTCCTCCATTAACTTTCCCAAAATAATTCTTCATGCCGAAAAACATACTCCCTGAATATCCTCCAAATAGATGCCATCCGTGAAATGTGTCACAATTTTCAACATTAAGTCAACTGCGCGTTTCGCATAGAAATCGTTACATGGTACTATTTGATCATTTGCAAATGTCGCTTTAGTCTCATGATCTGTTGTTGATAGCATCGGTGGAATTTCATCAAAAATGGGAGCGACTAAATTGCTACCGGCTAATCTGAATTGCTTCAGAAGACGGAACAGCTGCTTATGAGCTTTCTGGGCCGATGCCTTTACGCTCCATAAATTTAAATCGTTGTATTTCATGATTTTAATAAAATCATGCAACTGCTTTTCCGTAGGTTCCTTCTGCGCGACCAATTTGCTTTCAACTATCTGAAACCGAAATTTGTTACAACATGGAAATTCAAAATTTACAACTACTAGTTTTCAAAACTTTTTGCAAACAGAAAATTCAGCTCCTATTTAATTATGATTTAAAATAAGATCACACCAGTTAGTTGGGTTGTGAGTAACAATAAAACTCTGTACACAAACTAATTTTCCAAGCCGATTGCTTATTCTAGTTGGTTAAACTTCTTATTGACTAAAATATACCCAAAACTACGCTAAAGATGATTTCATTGAGGATCACTAAATGAAAGATGAACGAAGCCGATTATCCATGCATTCAATTTAAATTGTTCACTGACCGCGAGAATGAATTCCTATTAGGAGCATTGCTCTCTTCTAAAAACCCTCCGCAATCTTTCAGTTGCAGTTTTAAATTTTTATTAAGCACAATATCCTTCTCTTTAATTCCCAAACAGTATAACGAGCTAATTGCTGGCATTACGTACGAATCATTTTATTATAGATTTCTCAACGAGTTTTATAAACTTCAAATTCCATTTCCAAAAGGATAGTAATTGTGACAGAACATACGTCATTGTTTTAGTCTAAATTATGCAAGTTCCTAAATCTGAACAAACAAGAAAACTTACAGTGTCAAACAGCCGGAAATATGAAACCACTGATTTCAAACGTTGACACAATTCATCCCTTGCACTTTCTTGTGCCAATTTGATAAACTTGATAAGCAATTCACCAGTCTCTAGTCGAGCTTTAAAGTCAATAATCGTGGAACTTTGAATCCACTCAATTGTCATCGCTAAAATTTCATCGTCACTTTTATCCACTTTATCAAGTGCTTCGAAAAGTGGCCACGATAGCAGCAGTGTCTGCTCACGACAGTCGTTCTACAACAAATTTTTCAACGTTAGTCAAGCAGATCAAATTATCTCGATGATTAAATTAAGATTATAATATCGAATATGATGATTCATATTACTTTTTATATCTTCATCCATTACAAAAGCTATTGCAAAAGGCTAAGAATTTGACGAACTTCACATCAGGATTGCTTTTCTGGATATCCAACATATCTTATTTAGACCCCACATAGACATTAGGATATTTGGAATATCGATTCGACTTCTAGCTACAAAGATAAGAAACCCAACTAACCTGCACCTGCTGAAGTAAGTTATTCCAACACATTATTTCCATCTTTCGCCAACTCACCAACAAATACCGCAACTCTTCAAGTTCAGTTGTTAACGAGTGGTTTCGATCAGCCACTTTTTCCCACAGATCTGCTTCAGCTAAGAAAGAAAAAGGATGGGATTTTTTTTTAATGAATGACTTTCCATACTAATGAACCAAGTAATGAAAAAAATTTCCATTCGGTTCATTGTACAGACGATTATTGTGTAGAATCACACCAGAAAAATACTCAGAAAAAGAAACACTAATTAAAATATGTATCTGTGATAGAACTATTGTATTTCCTACCAAGCAGATGCTCGAGAAGTGCCGAAAATTGCATTTGGGGGGCTGTCATCGATGCAGATAATATCTTCTGAGCTCGCTGCAAAAAAAAAAATTAAGGAAATATAATAAATTAAAAATAAACCAGAAATGAAAAATCGAAACCGACCAATGTTTAATTATTAAATTCAACTATTTTCCACGATTTATGACCAATTAACCCGTGTATATCATTTAATTATACCAGCCAGTAAATCAGTCATTTACAAAAAGCTAACATCATATTAGCATAACTACACAAGAATTTTTACAATTTAAATTTACGTTATTTAGAACTTATTTACCACATATGTACAGTTCACTAAACCATATCACATAATCGCGGGTCAGATTAACATATATTATCATGAATGATAATGATATTAACATCATTTACTTCACTGTTCTGATTCATAATTATAATGCATCACCTGCAATATACCATCCAGGACTGTCATTTCAGGCCATTTCTCCTTCAACCAGCACACACGTTTGATCAGTGGTTTCATTGCTGCGATACATTTCTCCAATTCTAACCGACTATTTTTTCGGTAAACATCAACAATCTGTATGTCTTTGTCAAGATTCAATTGACTCAACGCGTAAAGATTGTAAACTGAAATATAAGTTATCAAATAATTGGACAAATAAATATATATGAAATCATAGCACATCCAATATGTATAAAATAAAACGAGAAGCAATAAGAGAGTAAGGGGGTAAGCAAATGATATTGTTTCAACTTTATGCAGAAGAATGTTAAATGTTTGCAATTTAAAATTTCAAGGTACATTTTAGAATTTTATAAAACAATCATCCTTATTGTTGGAGGATTTTATGGAATTCTTCTTCAACACATTTATGAAGAAAATACCAAAAACTTTTGAATCCACTAAGTCGTCCACAAGACCACACGACGATGCTGTATCCATCATCCACGCTAAAGCCATGTGACCATCGTGGCCACGGATATATTCCTCATTCGCCAATAGATGAAGTATTTCTGTCAAACTTTCACTGTCGATATAGGTGGCAGACGGTGAAAGTACCGATTCTTCAAATAAATCTTGCTCATCACTGGAAGCCGAGAAATCTGGCAGTAACTCTTGAATCTGAAAGATTTTCATATTGAGCAAATACTCGATAACCTGTTAGACTTCATTAGATATAGATTAGAGAACTATATAATGGGTGAAAATGACTGGTAAGATGCCGACAATAAGCTAATAATTGAAATAATAGAGTCTATCCAGTACCTTTTACATAGCTCAGTGTGATAAAAAATCATAAATGTCATAAATTAAGCCTAACATTAGGAGTTACAGCAAAGGTTACTGATAAACTTATTAGAACCCACACTATTTTATAAAAGACTCGATTTCTAACGATTTTAACATTCATCCATCAGATCTTCATCTTATTCCCTGAAAGAAGATCCATGGAATAACTTGTCGCCCTTTTTTCTTAGCATTATTCCTCAAAAATTGCTTCACCAATTTTTCATTACCTTAATGTCGTCTTCATCAAGCCCTTCTTCTTCATGTTTAATGCTTTTCCGATAAACATATGCTTGTTCTTGTTTTTCTGTATTAGCTTCAAACCATTTCGACCACTCATTTTCTGCAAAACATCACTTTCGACAAAAACATAAATATATTTCTAAATTTCCGACCTTCTACTTTCTAAGAATTGATTGAACGAATCAATAAAAACACGAAAAATTAATTTTGATCCAGATTAAAGCTACTTACATTTGAAAATGGTCCAAATGATATTAATTGATATTAATTTGAAATTTCTAGCACTAAATGTTGATGACAGCGCGACATGTAAACTGAAGGATTCACACTACTGCTCCATCAATTCCAGTCATTATCTTTTAAATTACAAAATGTCACTCACTAATCCATTCAATAATTTCCTTGACCATAATCTCTTTGGGATTAGCGAAACATTCCCTGTCTTGCTTATATTTCTGCAGAGAAAGACAAACTAATTCCTTTTGCAGTCTTTTTGGCATTATCGTCTTCTCCGAGATGCACCATTTGTATAAAATATCACTTTCCGGCAAATTATTCAAGCAGTTCCATTTAAACTGTAAAAATAACAAAAAGAATGATTTTCAACAAAAAGAGTGATTCTCTTCATGTTATTTCATATCTTTATCTTCCCTAGATAACATCAGTATGCATTTATGGCTTTTTGCTTTGACGATCACGCTCTGGCCATAATATTTATATTTAGTTATTTCATTCTGAAAACGGAAGATGGCTTTTAACCATTAAAAGTATTACGCTACTTCTACATCATCAAGCTAAATTATATTTATCTTCATCGTCGTCAATAATACGATTTTCTCTACTCAAGTTTCATTTACTGACCAACCAAACAATCCCCAAATCTCATTTATTTCGTAAAACAACTGGGTCAAAATTTACCGAAAACTTGGCTGGGAAGTTGCAGGTACCAATCAAATTGCGTAAATTCATTAACCGAATTATATGAAAGCGCTTGTATGAAACCGTTGCCACCAAAATATTTAAAAACATGAAAAACGGACAGATGATATCCGTAAAGGCACTGTATTCAGAAAATGTTTTCTGAAAAAAAGATACAGAACATGCATTGTGATTAATCTAAATAAGAATCTAAAGGTAAGAAATAGACATATTTTTATTAATTTGTTTGTTCTTGAAATGATAAAAACATACATTGTAGAAAGACTGGACGTATGTCAAAAAGCTATCAATATGCGCCACCGTCACTCGAACGTTATCATCCGATAGATTATCTAGGTGATCCAAATCGATAAGGGAAAATGTGCGATGCTGTTCAATAACTGTTGCAAGGAAAGAATTCATTGTTATCGCCAGTGATGGAAACTGTAAATCATGAAAAATAATCTGTAAAATTTTAAAATATATGAAAAATTTTGAGGAGATTAGGTGAAATAATTTTTTCAAAATAAACCTTAAGAAAATCATAGACTGACTCTACTTCATCTAATATATTTGAAATTGCAATAATTAACGCTAACAATATGTATATATATCGATGTGATAAATGTGAACTCGGAAATCAGAAATGTAATGCATATATAATGACACGGGTTGTCAAAAAAGTACAATTCTAGGTATTATATATATATATATAGAGAGAGAGAGAGAAAAACCAGTCAAGTTGATGCTCTAAAACAATTCCTAGATCAGAAAAAAATGCGTATTCTCTAAAAGATGAGTAAAAAAGGTGAGTAGTCTTTCGAAAATCGTCATGCTAAAAAGTTGGCTACATGATACTAAGCAACAGCAAGGCAGTAGCCTTCTCATTTATTTCGTAAAACAACTGGGTCAAAAGAAAAATTAAGAAAAATTAAACTGTGAATGTCAACGATAGCTTAAATTATTTTAAAACAGTAAAGGCAGATTCTGTTCGGATTTAATTTTAAAACTTACGTCTGTATAATGAGGACGAAAAGAAACTGTATTTTGTGAATAGTTTTCCAATTCCTTCGTTACAGAATTATACGTATTTAGAAGAGTACTAATGAACGGATGCTTGGAATTTGAAAATAATGCCAAATCCATCTGACCACTGACTATTCCCTGATAGGATTGCAAGACGCCAATAATATTTTCAAGCAATTTTTTCTAAATTCAAATATTAAAAAATAGAAAAAAGTACAATAAACAATGAAACTGAAAATTTTCAATTTCTCTAAACGAAAAAAAAGTTAACCTTATTCATCAAATAATTGAAATTCATTTTATCGCTCAACAGCGGGTCAATGCAGTTCCTCGGCGGGACCGATAGTGGTAACAACGCACAAGTGATCATTTCCAATCGCTGCATTAAGCTTGACAAAGTAATGTTGGTGGATGAATTAATAAAAGATGGCGAATCCAGCAATGATTCAAAATAATTAGCCACAGTTAGAAGCCTTTCCCTGAAATAACTATCTATTGAAAATCCTGAATTTCACCAATAATTGCTAAACAATATTCTTGGAGAATCTTTCATAAAACCAAAATTTACAACCTACTCTAAAATGATTTATCGTAAGCTCATCTCACAATTCTACTTCAGAACACTACTAACAAGTGAAGAAGCAACTGCTCCTGTCTTTTTGATCTTTTAATCATGTGATGCAAATATGCCTTAAATAATACTCTGTTACCGTCAAAAAGTGATCAATCTCGAATCACAATAAGATGGGGAATAAGTAGAACTCATCCGCAGCGCAATAAATTTTAGTGCACATTAGAAAAGCTAAATTTTGGAAAATTTATAATGATCATGCTTCAATGACAAAACAGCAACAAATACAGCTAAGATGACGTGATTAAGACTAGACTCACTTGTACTTCAATTTAAACGATTTCAAATGAACTCCAATTTTCCAGAAATAGGTGCATAAATGTTTTCGTTGAATTGGGAAATCACCAAATTGTGCTAGTGTAATCTCTCGTGAAGATAACTGAAAACCCATCGAACGCCATACCGATGAGAATAATTCCGTACCCAAAGTGACCCAAGCAAGATCAATATTCTAGAAGCAATATTAAATTCTCAGCAAATTTAAATTTAATTATAATTACAAATTATAAAATTTAAATTATTGTAAAACCGAAATTTATATATCATGAAGCAACAAATTTAATCACAAAATTGAAATTTATATTTGTGTCACGACTAAAAGCTCTATTCCTTAAGTTATTTTATCTAAGCTGTGTTTCAATAATATCTGACGAAGAAAATCAGTTTTTTGCTAGATATCAAAATGCATTTCCATGTACTTAATCCTATCTCCATACACCAAGGTTTAGCATCAAATAATAATGGTAATTAAAAATTGAACAATCATAAAAAACTAAGTTTCAGTTTTTCAAATAAAATTATCTCGAAAGTTATCTGATGAATGGTGCAAAATTCAGTATACATACACATACAGAAGACTACTAGAAAACTTCAATAAACTTACTTTGCAGGCAATCGGAATTTCCTCAACAGCAAAGTTCGAAGAAAGATACTGTGTAAAACATGCAACCTGTGACCACTTTTCATCTTTAAGATTTAACCATACCAAACGACAAAGCTCAAAAGGATGATGCGCTGATATTGGCAACAACTCCAGTAATATCTATAAAAGACCAATGAAAAGAATAATTGATAAAATGCATGCCTATTGTAATGGAAGAGTGCACGCAGTGCATTATGTAATAAATGTTTTCACATCGCACGTCCCATTATACCATTATTGCAGCACGCAATTGAAAGCCATCAGATTATTCCTATTAAACCAGTTCACCATTCGCATATACAAAATTAAATAATTACCTGTTTCCCAACATGGCTATTCAAAATCGCAAAACCGCAGCAAATATCTGTCATCAATTTCAGCGCTACGCTTAAAACACTATTCTTATCAGCATGACATTTTTGCATTCCATTAGTATCTTGCTGCGTTAAACAGCTTCCATTATCCACTGCAGTACTGTTTACATTCAAAATTTCGAGCTTGTTTTCATACTGCAACAAAAGAATAAACTGTCTCGTAGAACTTATTATATCTCAAAATTTGTGAAGTTTTTGACATTTAAAAAGTTTAGATAAAAAAAATGAAAATTAAAAACCTATCTTCTGCGTTTCTGAAGAATTAAAATAATCTTAATTCTTACTGCAAAAAAATATAAAAAAGAATATACATACTATCAAACCTAAAATAATAAATTTAAACATGTCGAACCTTTCTCCACTCATTATAGTTCCGGAAAGGTTCAAAAAAGCTACAACGTTTATAAAAGCTGGAGTAACACTCTGAGGCTTTCTTATCAGTCATCCACATTTTATCGATGGCAGTTGCAGCACAACATAAACCTGTGGACCACCTAAATTACATCAGCATCACTTATGTCATTTACATGTATATTATGCAATAATTTCCCCAATATGATACAGTAAATCTGCAACATGCAATTATATATATTCACGTGAAATTTTAACCAATAGCCCGTTTCCTCAATTCTTTTGAATTGACAAAATGCAGGCTCAGCGCACTGATAAACCGTACATCAGCAATTTCAGACGCAAATTACCCTTATGCATGCATCATTGCCCATCTCACTGAACTCCGCACCCCGAAACCGAGCCATAACGCTATGACTAGTAAATGGTGCCTTCTAGCAATACACCACCCCAGACTAGTTTTCATTACTTTGCAAATTACTCTAGTTGTGCATTACGATATTTGTCATTTCACAATAGATGAATGCAAACCACAATTTGAATGAATTGCACTAACTTTGAAACTGTGACATTTTTAGAAAAAGTTTTGTGGAAGTTTCTCAATAACTTACTGTTTCCAAATATTGGAATAAGAAGAATCATTTAAACGCTGCCATGCAAGATGAAGCGGAGCACATGCACTTCGTAAATCCATTCGTTGATGGCATGCTTCCACGAAAAGCATGATATTCCAAAAAATCTAAAACCTTAATGTTACACGAAGAATTGTGCATTCGAAATTCAACATGGTAAAAGTTCAACATTCTTTACAAAGTGCATGAAAAAGCAATTAATAATTTGTATTTGCTGATAAAAACATTAATGCCCTCAACAAAATAAAAATTACTGAGCATGAATCCAAGACTGTAGAATCCGCTGGAGAAAAGTTCGAAATATATACATATAATTCATCAAGTAATTCTTTTAGATATGAAATTGCGGGAGAGGGAAGTTGATCACTTCGAACCTTTCCTAAAAATTCAACATTTTCAAAATTTTACCGTTTCTTCATGATTTACTTTTATTGGGCTCTGTTATGCTCCAACCTAAATATATCATTGTGAAGTAGAATAAGCTAAACAGTGTTGAAAAATAGTTGAACACCCGAATCAGAAACTTCAATAAGAAGAATACTAATCATGAAAAACAAACAGACCAATAAATAAAAACTTGAGCGGCCTACATGCTACCTCATTTTTTATGAAATATATAGATACTGGAATTATCGAATAGTTTCCACAGTAGGTATAGAAAAGTTTTGGAAATATCCTACGGAATTCTTTGTAAATCCAAATCTTAACTCACTTTTAACAAAAAGGTTGCTCATGTCAACGGCAGATCTTTTCTCAGGCGAAATTTTATCCAGACTAAACTTTGTCCACAAAGCGCACATTCCGATGATGAATCTGGAAAATTGTTAATATATTTGTTTATGGAAATCATCCTCAAAATGTTACAAATAAAAAATGGAATATGAATTTAACGCATAATTAACACCAGAATTAGTCATTTTAACCTATCATTATGTGGGTTCTGTGCTCTCATCACTTCATACTTTGATTGCCAAGCATTTTAACCTATCATTATGTTATAAGCATAAATGCTGATAAGCCAAAATTAAAAATTAAGCAATGTTAAACTTTTATAGATGAATACAATTTAACCTTCATAATAAGTACAATTTAAGTCGGGAAATCCGCGAAAAAAATTTGTTTTGCTCTGAATATTTACAACTTGTTTTTTGTTCTGTGAAGTGATTTTCATTAGTCGGTAAGCAATACGATACCTGTCATTGTCCACATATGTATCTGGGGGTTTTGTAATGCGCAATGTTGGAGGACCATCAAAACGTTCGTCATTATTCAACATTCTATTTTGTTTCAGGTTTTGAACAGCTTCAATAACTTTATATTTTGCTTTCTCATCTAAAAAAATAAAATATTATTAACAAATCAGCCGATGAATTTATAACAAAATATTTTAGAATAATGATATATATATTATAATAATAATAATAATTTATGCCAGTTACCTGTATTTTTTTGAGAGCCAACTGTTTAATGAAATATACTTAAAAAAGCTACCTGTGCATTTAAACAGTCCGATCATTTCCTCAATTTTCAGTTGTTTGAATGGAACAGAAAATGTAGCCCATAGAAGACCAAGTATCCAATCATGTTGACTTACATACGACCAAACTAGAATTTTCCATTTGCTATATGTGGCAGCGAAATCGGTATCTAGTGAAGGATAAACGATAAAAGTTTCTTCCGTGTTCTCATCAATTTCCATAGCCTCCTCACTCATAGTTGTTTTGAAATGCTGAAATTTGAAGCTCAATTATTTGATTTGCCGCGCAATTTAAAGTTGCTAGTTTTTTGTTTTGGTTCTGCCTTATGAATCTTTCCTTTTCCTCTCTAAAAAAATTAGAAATTTTACCAAAACCAAAACTGGTTGTTACCGTTTCCAATGGAAATACCAACATGAAAGCTGACCTTTATAGCATTTTCAAAATCCATATCCTTCGCCTTTAGAAGCATTTTTAATTTCAACAACTCCCAACATGAAAGCTGCTCACATGCTTGCATCATTGCTGGTGTAATCCGGAGAATATCTCGGTTTTCCGTATTCATTACCATATTCTTGAAACACAATTTACAAAGGAAAAGCAATTGTCGCGAAAAATTGAAATATTCTTTTCCAAAGTAAAACCAGGAAGCTGCCTCCTTTTATGGCTAGCAATTTTCAAGGAAAAGCAAACAAGTCAAATTTTCTTACTATATAATAAAAAGAGACAACAAGTACATACCCCCAGATCTTGTGCTATTTTGAACCAAGCGCAATCATCAGGAAGTAAATATAATTCTACTGAACGATTACGCATAGCTCGTGAAACGCTGCCGTAATCATCATCCATAGTAAAAAAAACTCTAAATTTGTGAAATCACTTAAAATTGTAAAATTAAATTTAGACAACACCTTTTTTTTCGAAAAAAAAGTGTTTTCGAAGCGAAAATGTGACTGTTCCTTAAAAATATGTTAGTTAATCTAATATTTTCAGTATGCTAACTAATCTTCAACGATAAAAGTAAAATCAGCAAACAATAACCGAAAATCGTTATGTGCTTTTACGACATCACCGCCACCACATTCTTGTAAATTTAATTCTCCATTATTTTCCAAACAAGCGTTTAATCGATCCAGTACTGCCGCACTAAAACGAATGCAACAATGAATACAAGAGAGATAACGAAACAACTAAAAAATAGTTCGAAGTTAGTGATTAAGATATAAGTAACCTGCAACAATTGACATTTTCAATCAAAATCCAATAACCATTAATAAATGCATTTACAAAACGACTGTTAAGCCAATCAAAACGCATTTTATTTTTGCCCAATTCTTTGTCGTATTTTGACAATTTTTTCGCAATATCTATAATATTTAAAAACCCTTTTATATTTTCGATTCTTCATTATTTTCCAAACAAGCATTTTTTTACGCTAGAATACAAATTAGTGGAAATTAATTTCTGTTTTAAGCAATTCAGATAGCCACGAAAAAAAGCTCTAAAATTAAAAAACAAACCTTCATCGACAAGAAGCATTGCGGTTTGCAAAGCTAGTCGCAAAGTAAGTATATCTTCAGCATTATTTACATCATTTAATAAATCCGGAAATTGTTCAAGCAAATTCAAACAATGTTGCTTTATGGAAGTGAAATTCACATAATCGGTGACCTTAATAGTGCAGACACCATAATCTTGGATTGAAAAATATGCAAAATTGCTCATAAAAATCTTCCGGTGTAGCAGAATGAAATGACTGAGTGTAATGCAAAGATCTGATAATTTAATGCAAAGAGCATACACTAACATCGATGAAATCATGAATTTTATCCCAGGCTTCCAGAAATTATGATTCTAATAAAAATAAAAAGGTAATTATACGGCATTAATTAGTCGCAAAAATTTGACCGAAATAAAAAACCAATTGCGAATATTTGAAGTCAAAATTTCTCGCAACCTGCTCAAACGATCCAAGAAGTTCGAGTGAATCGGATTCCGAAGTTAGATATATTGTGTAAAGCTCTTTTCCAACCAAGGATGCCAAGATCCTCACAGCTGTTGATTTCCCACAACCAGCTTTCCCGACAATTAAAGTAAGCCAATTCATTTTCACGCAAACGGCAAGTTTATTCAGCAATCGCATTTGTGATGACAATAATTTCCTGAAGAAACAGTGATTCATATAATTTCATTTCAAATCACATTAATCAAATCCAATTTTAAAACAACTAGGTTAAATGTGACTTTAAAAAATTAAATGAGGAATAATAAGTTAGAAAAATGATATGGGAAATGAAATAAATTTACATATTTTGTTGTCTGCGGATTGCGCCTGATCGTTCCAGTTCTACTTTTCCAATACGGACATATGAATCAATCAATGAAAGTGATGCTACAGCTTCCACACATTTAAATTTAAAACATTCATAAAACAACCCTCGCATCTGCAATATTGATGAAAGAGGGAAAGGAAAAGAAAAAATCCATGTTGTAATAGATTTTTCCTGTACAAAATGTTGTAAATCCGATGAGTTATTATGGAGATTTTATATGAATAAGTTCTATATTACAACACTAATCATTCTTGATGTACTGCACCAGTCATTTTTTTAAATTTTTTAAACTAATCAAAGGGGCTGACAAGGCCAAACTTACCTTTTGTCGATCAACATTACTACGTAATCGCCATATATATAATAAATCAAAACCAAATGCAACATCGCCATCGTTCTACAAACACAAGATATTACAAAATAAAAGAAAAAGTATTATACTTTCCAAAAGTTTTCAAAAGCTGCCATCTACCTAAATGAAATATTTTCCATCCATGCTTAAAATACCGAAGAATGCACTACCTCTGCTTCTATGGCACCGCATTAGCGCTTGTTTTTATGTCTTTTAAGAAAAACGAAATGGAAAAAACAAACTGCTTGGCAAGCACTTTTATAAAGTTGATTTAAAGTATGGTTTGCGAAACATCTACTGCAATGTGCAATTGAACAACTGCACGTTCCTTTAAATGATTGAAAAGGTTCACTAAATCATCAGAAATCCGAAAGGTACATCTTAAGTTCTACTTTTAAACAAAAAAATATTTTAACTTACTTCAACCGTTAGTTGTGCCCATCTCAACAAATCACGCAAATTAAACTCAAACGGCGATCCTTTTCTTAGAAACTGTGGATCGTCTGCCATAAGACTTGCTATTGAACTGTTCACGTTAACTATACGTTGGATAACATCATCAGCCAATACAGATCCAAATGAATTCTTAATAATTTCGAAAAAATCTGATGCATTCATTTCGGCTACGTAAATCTGAAAACTTCTTATCTGTTTCAGATTACTTGTTTCAGATTTGTATCCATTGATTCATTTACTTAAAAACGAATGATGCAGATGTTAACATCTACTGGGATATCCAAATACAATGTATCAATCGCGCCCTTAAGTTATCATCAACTCATGTTTTTTGACAGTAAGAAGAGGACCATACCATACCCCATACAATATTAAAAGCTTCAAATAAAATGAACAACTAGCGCTGCACACAGTTTTCTAAAAGACTTAAAAATTATGAAGTCTCAAAATTTATTTTTTGAATATCAAAGAGTACATACAGATGTGAAGCGGTTAACAAACGATTTTGGTAGCTTTCGCCGATTTCCTCCTTGACTGCATGGATTTTGACATGCAAAGAAACGTGTTTTCTTGTCGTCGATACCGATATCGAAGGTTCGGTTCAGTTCTGGTATGTAAAGATTGTGACGGTGATCGAAACATGCATTCAAACCTTCCAAAACACTTTGAGATGCCAAATTCATCTTAAATGAATTCAAATAAGTTCGGCTCTTAAATAATTTAACTCTCGAATCTAGTTCGATATTGTCGACTCAATACCTCAATCTTTGTAAACAGCACCTCAAGTCTATAACCATGCATCTTAAAATATCATTTATAATTTGTGCATCGCCTCTTAAAAATATCATTTATGATGCACGCGTTAAAAAAATATTATTGAAATTATTCAATTTTCGATATTAAATTAATCATCAACTTCAAAATTAAGATGAATGGTACTGATGTTAAGAGTAGTTAGTATGCAGATACATGAAAAAGCCATGTCGTAAGCATTGAAAAACTTAAAATCTTTTGCACCTCATCTAGAAGAACCCACTGGTTCGATTTGATTGCATGCAAAACAGGTCCATCTTTCCACTTGAAAGATGGTGTACCATCTGATAAAATAACCGGCACATCGCAACCGAAGAGATCTGCCAAATCCTGAAACACTTGTAAGATTCAAAGCAACATCATGCCTTGCGAAGTTATTTGTTAGTGTGAATTTTCAATACCCTTGATTTCCAATAAGAATCGGTTATAATAGACCTAAATTTGTTTTCTAATATAATAAAAGTTAAAAACAAAAAGAAGACAGAAGACAAACAAAAAATTACCGTTTGTTCTGACAAATTTAATCTAGTTAGTGCATGGCCAGTTACAGCAGCTAAAGCAACAACAGTGCTTGATTTACCACAACCTGGAGGACCTTCAAGTAATATTGGTTTATCAACCGCAAGTCCACGTACAAGCCTATAAACATACTGTTATGCAAAAATTGCATTTTGATTAGTACTTCGAAGAATTTCAATATAGTGCATAGATCGTGCAAAGGAATATCCTTTTTTATTAACTATAACTTTTATTTTGACAAATCTTAAAACAACAGCGAATACTCATGAATTATTTATCGTTCATCGCTAAAACCTCATCCTTTGGCCGACTTTTGACTTGTACTTAGTAAGGAATCTATTTCAAAGTCCCGGTTTAATTGAAATATAATGAGAGAGAATAATTCAACTATCCACAAAATATGCAGTATAAGCTATTTTAAAATAGAGCAGACTGAAAAACTAAAATAAATACAGCATCATTATTTTATTTGCTAAATACGTAACAAACAAACCTGAAAATATTCTGCCTACATGTCGGCGCATTAAATGTAAAATTTTTGGGCACAAATCGTTTGGCTAGCCCAAAAGGAATATGAAAATCTCCGACAATGAAACTGTGAGAATCTTTTTCATCGAAATGCAATGTAGCCGGTAACAAAAGCGATGCTACATCACAGATACTACCCAATTCCCGTTGCATAATTTGACAGAGCTGCAAATATGAAGTTCTAGATGTTTTCCAAGAGATATAAAGATATTCATTTTACTTGGATACCTTGCAGTATATGTAACCTAATTCTTAAATAATCCGTAGAAATAATTTTAAACTATATGTAAATAAATTAATGCTGAATTCATCCTGAATCGGCAATTTCTACTACTCCACAGCCACCTTCTTTTTGTAAAATACAAACGAAATAAAAAGTAAACTTTCGCAGAAAAAAATTTTCACTTGATCAATAGCCTTTTTTTTTAGGGCATCGCAATCTAGACTGATACGTGTCGATAAAGTACCGAAAGCATCAAAAAAAGTTGCCGAAAAAGCATGGTAAATCGAAGAGAATGGTGAATTAGATCGTGACAACGCAGCAATAACAAGCTGTGTAACTGCTACTACATCACGAATTGTTATTGTATTCCTGAAAGTTATTACAGATTTTGTTTTGCTCAATTTTCTTTCACCGAAACTATTCATTATCAAACAAAAATTTTGAAATCAAAATTGCAAGTTTGACAAGTCCTACATTTACCGAGATTTAACCTTCTATCTAGCATTTAATCCGAAATTTTACAAACCTTAACAGATGAGAAAATTTACGATCAAACCATAGCACAAATTGCACAATACATTTGTTAACTTTTAACCGTAAATCATTCTCATCCAGTAGTGCTGTTGTACTCAGTAGTCGATCCACGATATTACTCAAATCATCACCGGATACATCAGATGGACACCAAATTTCTGTGAATCGATTTCTCAGCGCTTTTGAAAGCTATAAGGGAATCAGAAGAACTATTTGAACAATTCGCTTTGAAATTATCTAATTAAATAATAAGAGAAAAAACAAAGAATTTTGCTTCCATACCGAACATTCAAAAGTTTTTAATAACTCAATGACGGTTCCAAGAATTTGCGAAAAACGCAGATTCACAAACCTGAGCCCAAACTCTCGTTATTCTTCTGAATTTTGGGAATTAAAAATTTGAAATGTATTTGAAATCTTAAACAGAACAAACCTCTTTTTTACCATAATCTCCACCGGGATTCATAGTTGCTACAATTTTGAAACCATTTTTTGCCCTCACTTCACCACCTGATAAGCCGCCATCATTGAGAAACAATGAACGAGATGGTTCCAACAAAGGATTCAGCCGCTCTAGCACCTAATCACCAAAACAGAAATGATTTCAGTAATTCAGTTAAACTAATAAGTGAAATCAAATCAAGAAAAAAAACAGAAAAGAACAACAAACCGAGTCAGATGCCAGCGAGATCTCATCGATGAGCAGTGGCCGACCTTCTTTCATTGCCTGTACGACTATGCCATCCATCCATTTAAATGTACCTTCACCCACTGGACGTAATGAACCTAGAAAGTCAGAAGCTTCTGTTCGCTCATGACAATTCAAAGCCAACAGTTTCTCCTGCAACATTTTTTAACTATTATATTGTACATTTAATGAATGCTGAGTTTTGATAAATATAGTCCCTCAGCTGATTCAAAAGCTTCATTATGATGAAAAGCCAGAAATTTCTATAAAACCATCGTGAAAGATCAGTAGCCCTTTTTCCTAAATCCCTAAGAAGATCGAGACAATCAAGGAAGAGATTAACTCCACGTATAAATGTTTTTCCATCCTATTAGAAAACAAAAGAATCAATCACCTTTGCAAGCATCTGTGCAATCGTTGTTTTACCACACCCAGTTTCACCGATGATTAGAACCGGCTCATCAAAATGCCAACTTTGTGAAACCAAAACAAGCATTCTACGAATACTACTGGTTAAAACAATATTGTTCACAGCTGAATATGAACGAAATTCGAGCGGCAGATAGTCTGAGTCACTGGCAAACAAACGCTCAACGTTTATTTTATGCTTTAAATTTTTTTCCAATATTTTCTTTACACACTCAACATCGGCTGTATTACGACATCGTGCACCAAGCAACAAAAAACCTGCAACTCAACATTCCTTCAATTTTTAGTAAGTGATTATTTCAAAAATGAGAGAAGCAAATACAAAATCAGGCATCTCTAAAAAACATTGACACATTAAAAAAAAAATAAAAATAATTGAAATACGATCAGCTTTTTAAATAATATTTAAATAGAATTCATGACACTAAATCTAAAATCTTAACCAGCTTCCTAAGCTTAATTTTGCGTAATTCAAAAATACAAATCAAAGAATTGATAACTTTATTACAGCGAAGTATGTGGAAATGAAGGAAAAAACTCACCATGCTCAGCTAAACACTGGCGCCAGTCATTCTGATGAGAACCTCCAAGTCGCTGTCCCCACCTGAATAAATCACGAAGCGTCATCAACCCATCACTGGCTGAGAAAACGCCGACTGCGCTACGTAAAGCACGTAAGTCACAGAATACCGAAACCATTGTTCGTGCAGCGGATGGCGCGATTTTACAACTGGAAAGAGCATTCGAAAAAGGATTGGAATTCGGTTTCCCAAATGTATTCAATAAATTTCATCATCATGTTAAGAAAACGGTGTAGGCTGAAGTGTAGCACGAATACATTGACGATATGTACCGAAACACTGCTCAGCTTTACTCGATTTAGCTCAAATGGACTAAACGAAAAACAGCATGTTTAGTAGATTAAGAGAAAAAGGAATACTTCAACTCCGATACCGTGTTCCTTTTTCAAGAAGGTTTCGAGAAACCTTTAGGTTACTTCTGCGGCATATAATTGATTCAAGATGATGGTGAAGAATTTTTAATATAATTTGATAGAGAAGCTTGGAAAATTATTGCTACCTAACGATGACCATTTCAGCCAATTCGTTGTATGGCAGTTGGTCAAATCGCAGAATGACAAAACGATTGAGCAGTGCACGTGAGAGACGTTTACGACCGGCGTAAGTACAAACGGGATTTTGCGTTGCAAATAAACGAAATTGAGGATCAGCCATTACGACCGTATTCGTTTCAGAAACAAACAACTCACGATTATCATCTAGCAACTGAAATTAAAAAATGAGCAAATGTAAGTTTAAATCTTAGCATTTACAAGTTAAAGAAGGACGAACAGCTGATGAAAGAGGTCGAGGTCATGCATAATCCAAAAAATATGATTCAATACGATTGCATTACCCTTCAATGCTTAAAAAGATTTCATCAGAAAACATACTCTATTGAGAGCTTCAATAACATCAGTTGGTGCAAGATTTAGTTCATCAAGAATTATCCAGTGTCCATTCCGAGCAGCTTTTACCAATGGACCTTCTACGAATACGAAACGACCATCACCATCAGGTACATAGGATCCTATGTATTCTTGAAGATCGGTATGTTCATGGTTATTAATCCGAATAATAGTGTTTCCAGTAATTTTAGCAAGGTGCATTATCTAAATATTATTCTTATTTAAGATTTAAACTCGAACGTTGAAAATCAATGAATATTAAAAATTCTAAGCACAGGTTTTACTAAATCATAGAATAACAATATGAAAATGCATAAATGAGTAAGGAAACATTTTTCACAATTACGACTAGCTTTATCTCCTAACTTTTTATATAGTCCAAAAACTCTAAACTGGAATTTATGTAATTGTAAATTGCTATTCTATAATGATTTAGAAATGAATTAAATTAATGACACTTAGCATTTTCTTTTTGGATCCAGTATCCTTCAACTTCACTGCAAAAAAAAAGAACAATAAAATGAATGCCATAATTTAATTCAATTCAGTTGCAAATCTCAAACTAACCATGGCTGTTTTCCCACATGATGTTTCACCTTCCAGTAATACTGGAAATTTGCCACTACAAATGACTCGAGCAAGATGGGATAAGTTTTTCCGAACTGATGCCGTACAAACATAACTGGGATCATCCTGTGGTTCGGCATCTCCTTTTTGGATCCAGTATCCTTCAACTTCACTACAAAAAAAGAACAATAAAATGAACCAGAAAAAAATGGAAATTATAACTCCACGAAGCAAATTGGTACATTTAGTAAATGACTCGAAGCACTAAATGAAAAGAAGCAATGATCGTAATTAATGAAATATGTCAGTGATACATACATGTGATCATCGGTAAATTTCGTCTTCATTTTATCCAACGAGACTTTGTTCATTTTACTTCGAATAAGTTTCTCAACCATTATTTGATCTTCCGCACTCAGATCGCTCATGAAGGACATCGATATCGCTTCATACATGTTACGTATATCACTTCCAAAGATATTTTCTGCCGTGAATGCCAACGCACGACATAAAGTCCGTAAGCTGGAAAAACTGGTGTATGCAGAACATTAATTTCCGATATTCTATGTGAAAGGCAGTTACAACAAAGATGTTAAATTAAACTTAGTTGGCTTAAAGAGCAAACGCCTCAGAACAAACCTATATTTTCCAGGAAAAGTTATACGCAATGCTTGATAGAGTTCTAGCATTGTGGATATATTTGCAACATGAAATGACGGAAGATAAGCCTGTGCGATCACATGTAATTGTTCTATTTCTGTAGTTTCGTGTACGAAAATTTCAGTGAAGCGACTTCTGCAAAAACATAAAAACGTAAACTGATACCGTCCAAATTATTTTTAAAAAATTAAAAATTTTTTAAGAAAAATTTTAAATTTTCTCGAAAATCTCTTCACCTTATTCCAGCTGGCAGATTTCGTTTCCCCACATCACCGGCAGGATTCATGCAGGCAAACAAACGAAAATCTGGATGTCTATTTTCTGGGTCCTCAATTAAGCGTACCACAGAATCCAGACATTCCGGTGTAGCTAAATTAATTTCATCAACCAGAAGCCACTCACCTCGTTCAGCAGCCTAAATCAACAAAGGATAGTTTTGAATAAACGTAACTTCATACAGTAAAATATTTGTAGATTGAAAAAAGTTTATCTAAAACTGAAAAAAGCGAAGTTCTGAAATCTTAGATTAAAATTTCAAGAAAAATGAAGTATTTTAGTGATTTACTTCAGCGACTGCTCCACGAACATATGCAAATGAAACGGCTGAAGCTTTCAATGATTCTGCACAACGTTCTGCTTTAACAAGTAACTTCGCCCACAGCCTGAGAGAGTTATGTTTCGATGACATTTTTAATGTGCGACGTGCTATTTCCGTGACTAATTTTGCATAGTCACTGTATCGTCCATTTGACAAACACATCTACAATAAGTATTTCATTTGGTTTTTTTTTGGCATCTTTAGAACTGCGCTAAGAGTAAGTCACATTGCTGACACACCAATACAAACATTTCCACTTTGTTTAGCTTTACTGTTTTATTCGCAATTTTTCATTTTATTAAAACATACAACATTGTTACATTTCCAAACATAATGAGTTGGACACATATTGGCTTATAATTTAGTCGCATTGGGTTTTGTGTGACGACCAGAATGAAGCGATCAGAATAGTGGATTGCGCAAAATTAATAAGCAAGAAATTATTGCCTACATGTCATATCTTTCCAAAACATTAATTTTTTCAAATCTCTTAGATTAAAATTTTCTCTATCCAAAAAATGCTTCCAAAAATAAAAAATTTACCTCCAAATGACGCAAAAATTTTTCATTTTTCTTCAAATCAAATGTTGCAGCAAATAGATCATCATATTCTTTTTTTAGTGGTCTTAACAAATACGGTATTGACACCGGTTTATACCTAAAATGTCAATAAATCACCAGAAATACATGCCGCTTCATACTGAGCAAATAAGGTATGCATAAATGAATAAAAGGAGCAAATTAAAATTACCTGAAGTCTGAACTGAGATTGAAATACTTACCCGCCAATTAAATCGGATGAATCCGAATGTTGGCTGAGATTTACTATTCGAATAGTGGTACCAATACGATCTGCTAATAGCTGTATAATGGCTGTTTTACCAACACCAGTTTCACCAACAAGCAGTATTGGCTCCATACGACTTATGCAAACTGTTATCCGTTCCAATAGCTGACATATGTTACGTGTGATGCCAAAACGAATAACCTTGCTGAAATTTCAATTTCCAAAATAAAATCAACTTGTCCTAACCGATCCCGGTAACATATATTTACTGAACAAGTAAATGATTCAGCATTGAATCATTGCTGGCAGTCTCTACGCTGAATATATTTTTATTTAAACGCAACAAAACTTTGCATTTATTCCTTACATAACTCTCCACTCTCCATGAATTCTGTTTCTAATTTTTGAATGGGTCAACCCAAGCCCCGCGCCATAACAATATTTTCTGAGTATACGATACCAATATATCGTTCTTCATTTCAATTTCCAATTATTGATCCAATTCATTAATATTGTAGAAAACTTATAATTTCAACTCCCTGTCCCTGAAGAATATCCTCATTCCCCAATTCCCACATATCTCCACTTCGTTATAAAATTTAATAGAACAAGGTTTCTTAAAATTCTAATAATTATTTTAGAAAGCAACATTTTTACCTCTCTCTTGCTGCCGCTATTCGATTTCTTTGCAGATTTACTCGACCACATCTCATGCTGTTTTGCGTTACTGAAATTTCAGGTAATCGGAAGTTTAGCTGATATATCAGTTGGTCATGATTCAGAGACAAACTGCTGGCAATTATTTCCGACAGCGCAAAAACATCTTCCTGTCGGCGGCAATGGATTATCCAACAGTCGACCAATTCATGAAAAACAGCCACCGGGTCCGACAGATCATCCAAGTCGTTAACACGTGCACAGGCTTTCAATAAATCCCTGTAATAATACATCTGAGTTTTTTTAGCATTGTTTCTAGCTAAAATTTCACTAGCATTTTCCTTTGAAAACAAATTAAAACTATTAAAGAAACTTACGTAGCTCCCAGTTTTCTTCCATTTAATTGGTTGGCCGGGCTGTTGATAAGTTCATCGAATAGAGTTATCAATTTTTGAGCAACTGGAGCAACCCTTTTAAATAAAATGCAAACAGCACGATGAAGTTCTTTGTTAGTAAATGGTGGAAGCGAAACTTCAAACGGAACAGAAGTAAGCAATAATTCAATATCAGCTGATCGGAAACTTCTTTCCTGCTTTGTACACCTGAAAATATAATTATATTATTTTCTGAACCACACTGTTAGCTGTCTTGTCTACTTTTTTATCTTTGTTCGTAATTAATGAAGGTCATGTGATCAAGCTAAAACCAACTTTAGAAGCTTATAAAGAAATATTCTAAAAACTTGAAAAAAAATCTTGCAAATTCTGCAACTGCTGTATTTATGCCACATTTTCTGGCTCACTTATTTCCTAATAATTTTGCATTGAAAAATAAACCTCATCGTAGCAATAATGTAAGCTTCATTATGCATTTGTATTGTTTCACCGGAAGTTAGTCGTACTTCGCGACTATCGCATAAGTTGATTATTTGTGATATTAAATCGGCCGAAGCACAATCGATATCTTCCAAAAGTATGATTCCCTTATCAAGAATACACTGAAACTTTCGAAATTTTACATGTAAACACTTAATTACTCTACCTTGAAAGAAAGATAACATTGCTAGTTATCCACTTAATTTATTTTTAAATGACTAGAATGACTGCTGTCTCACTTACGTTCGATACTTGTACATGGTTAGAATTTTCAGGAAGGAATTATAAGATGTATTTGTTAATGAATGAAATTACAGAATACAATCATTACTCTCAAAATAATTTTATTTACTCAGCTGTTCTAAAGAAGTACTCAAAATCATCGTTGAGCCTAACTTCGATTCGTTGCTAAACGCATTTCCTTCACAAGAATCACAAAAAAGAGATTCTAATCTCGTCAGGAACTTATACGTAAAATACTGGTTATACGATGAGCTTAGGTAACACAACTCCATCATCCATCAAAAACAGCTGGTACCACTTGTGGCAACAACAAAATTTATTAGAAGCGAAGAAAATAACTTTAGGAGAGACAAATTTTACCTTCGTGAAGGTGCTTTGTTTCCAGCAAAATTCACCAGGTATATCCAAGCAATGAAATGTTCCAAACAAAGTTTTCGAATCGATTTGTTCACCCATTTGTATAGTCCGACATGGTAATTTCATACTACGTGCAATCTCCCTCACTATCGATGTTTTACCACAACCAATTGGACCCTAAATACGTTTTTACGATGAACGAGTAAAATGGCCAGCTAGCAAGGGATAAGTTCAAAAGAAATTAATTCAATTAGAATTGATCGTAAAATTTGAAAAAAATTCCAAATTAAACTGAATTATCAGAAGCCTTATTTTATACACCAATAAATTTATAAATCCGTATATGATGGATTCATACGCTGATATAGGCTAGTCCAATGTTATCCATCACCTGATGTGAAGGGAAGAGTGTAGCACAAATTGATTTGAATATTATTTTAATAATATAACTGCCTCTATTTTCAATGCTGTTAGCAACTACTTTTGATGCTATCAATGATTTGATACGCTTATCATTGTTTAATCATTATAATTCGTGCGTTAAAAGACAACGGAGTCTTGCAAATAATCAAAAAGTATATAACATTCCCTATTTTTTAATTCTTTTAAAATTAATCTTGCAGAATAATCATTTGGATTCTTAGTCAGCTTTTTTGCTCTTAAAATTGTAAAGAAAAGCGCAAGACATTTGTGCACAGATACACAGACTTTCGTAGGAACGATATAAAGTAGTTTCAAAAACATACTCTTAAAAGAATAAACAAACGGTTCCGAATGCCAACTTCCAGCTGTTCACGATAAGCAGCTCTGGTAGGCATAGCGTCTGCTACAAAATCATCAACAGATCCGGCTCCTCCCAATTCTTTGCTTCTTATTATTTTCTCAGGTTTCATAATTTCCGTTCCATCAGTAATCAGTAACTTTCGTTTTTGCCTTGTCTTTTTTACCTTCATCCTCTTATCTGGAAGCACAGAAATTCAAGCCGATTTACACCTTTTTTTTACAAACTATAAACTATAGCACAGATTAATCTCCGCACAAGACAACACACTTTCGCTCACCCCTATTTGGATTATCAAGCAATATATATTAGCCAATTCTTCAAACTTCGATACATAAATTCAATATTTGACATGAGATTTAGCGGTATCTTCATATCTCTTAAATATAATCATAATGATGTCATATATTCAACGCTAAGACAATTTGTCATTAAAGAAAAGGTATAAGTTTATTTGAGCAAATTTATCAAATTGACAAAATAAATTTTTTTACAACGCATGAGAGATAAAGTGACACGGGATAGAAAAGGAAATAAAAGTGAGAACCATTTGCATATCAGATTTAACAAAACGAAAATTATGAAGCACAATAAAAAAACCGGAATCAATCATCAGTTCATTATTGCTCATCTGGACATTGTATTACTGCAGTCAACTGAAGCAGTGCCCTAATCTTACTTCCTAATACTGTCTGTTAATTTCATTTCTGCCGTCTAAAAATATCGCCTGCTGTCCCATTTTCCCAACGACAGGTTAGAGATTCTTAAAAACCTAAAAACTCGTATATTTCATAAAATTACTTTATTTAAATGATGTGAGCGAAGTTGTTTATGTCAGTTTATCTGACATCTGAAGTATATAATACTCAAATCTTCTACCACCTGCAAATAGGCAAAATAGACTGATTCAGGGGGAAAATTAAACGGTCTGCGAAAATAAGCGGAAAACAGAAATATTCATCATTATCCTAAACGAGTCAGCACAATAATAGTAATATAAAATAAATGCATTGGAGATCATCTATAAAGGGTCAATCCATTAATATAATAACCAAAATCAACAATAAAATTTTATACGATTGGTGGCAAATGGCAAACAACACCACTCGTATCAATTGCCGAATAAAAGAACACATTTCGAAGAGGATCATCCTTCTGCGAAAGTGCCTGAAACTCAGTTTTTCTAAAAAAAAATTGCCAAAAATTTGAAACTGTGTCTGCTAAAATTTAAGAATATTAATCTGAATTTCCAACCAAATTCGATAATTCGACATAAGATCGAATGCAAGTATAAATACTAGATTATGTCTGAAATAAGTTGAGGAGACATTGCCAGCAGTCAGCTCTAGTTAAGCAATCCGAAAAGTCTCAGAATACAGAATACAGAATAAAGAATAAATGTTCCTTGATTGAATAATTTTAAAAGTTAAGGTCCCTTATGGGAAACCCACATGTATTTTATATCGTACCAGCAACAAATTGGAACTCCGCTGTGAACGATCAAACAATCCCTCTATTAATCCTCTATATTCGAACTAACGAAAAGCACTTTGGAATAACAATTTTATGAATAAAATTAAATTAAATTTTAGTTTTTAATTCAATATCGTAACAAACAGATTCTCAAATGAAAAAAAAACCTTTATTGCTTCCTGTGCTATATGTGCCCCAACAATGGCGCATGCTGGGCTAAGTTGAGGTCCAACAAAACTAAAATAATTTCATGTTTAATTTTCTCAGTAAAAAAAACTATCCACAATCTCGTGAGTTAGGCAAAAACCTTTCAATTGTTAACTTTAATTGTTATTGAGGGAATGAAATTTTGCTAACTGTGAAAAATATTTGACGTTGAAATATTCGTCATCAAGGATATGATTGCATTGCTCGAGTTCCTTCTTCCATAGTTCTATGAATTTTTCTTGATTCACAGCATCACCACTTTCTTGTAGTCGAAGCATAACTAGAAAACAGTACTTTTATATTTGACATAAGCCTGAGTCGTTACATGCTTGTCTCTAAAAAATTGCCCACATTTCTCTGAATTCAACTGCTTCTCAAATTTCAGTATTAAAGGTTTTAGGTGTGAAAAGTAAATTTTGTAGGAAAAAATTTTTCTTATTTGAAATAACCTTATCGCAGTATACTAATACATGAAAGAATACCTCGAATTGGAAAATATGATCTAGGCAAAATTCGTTTCGCCTTACGAATAAGCTTTTTATGAGACCAGTCGACATTCCACGCGTCGTCCCATAGTGGGTATGAAAATGTCTGGAAGCGGTAAATAAATTAAATGCCTTTAATTGATCTATAAAAATTTTAAATTTAACTAGGATAAATTTTGCAATATGCAAAATTGGTGGCACTGAAAGATGGATGTGAGAAAATTTGAAGTTTTATCTTGATTTTCAATTTTACTAATGTAATATAGACATTCTATCTAGAAAATTACTTACCATCTGCACTTTTTCATCTTCATCATCTAGTACAACATTCACTGATGCTTTATTTTCTTTTCCTCCTTTTCCATTTTCTAATTCAATGTCGATTCTTGGTTTCTTTGTTGATGAAGGACGATCTCCCATGGAATCATCTTCAAGCACACCACCTCTCCTTACTTTTGGCAGAGTTCTAAAATTCGTGTTTCATAATGATAGCTTAATCTATTAGCTTTCAGATCAGTCAGATTAAGCATTACCTAATATAAAGAGCAATCGTACAATTAGTAAGCAACAAAGATATTTGATTTGAGTAAATGGATAAATCAACAACGCAACAATGCAAGAGCGAATAAATGTATAATGCCCATTAGACGGTATTGTCCATATCGCATTTAGATATTCATGTCGATAACATATGAATGAACTTACACTAAAAATGAACAATCGGTAAAATCGAAAAATGCGTATCCTATCCAACCAAAAACACCTCCAGCAACAAATCTAAAATTAACTTTTAAAAATGACGGATAAAGAAAACAAACACACTGTTCTTTCAGCTTGGTACATGAATCATCCACAGATGGAGCTAATAACCGATATTATCTGACTGTAATGCAGCCTCCCTGATATATCCAAACAGTGCTCATGACTCAAGAATCAACTTACTCCGCTTCAGCTATCCCTGATTGCAGTATTTCTGATCTAGTTATAAGCTTGAACTACTGGTCATTTTAAACTATTCTGACAGTTCCAAGCTAATGCAAAGCTATGGAAGGAACAAAATCTCACGGCTTTCTAATGTTCCGACAAATTTTACTGATTTGATTAACAATGACGTATTTTTGATCAACCAAAATAATTAAATCAAAATTAGTGAAGAATTTTTCATCTTTTTCGGATATATCGTCCGTATCCACGTGTAATTCCACATTCGGATTTAATAGTTGACATTTCTGCCGCGATGCTTCAGCACGCTGAAAAATAATTGTATAAAACAATAAATGCGAAATTTTGATTACATCCATCATAGAGATTCGGGGAAATGATATAATTTAAAAGTAGTAATAAAAAAATTCCAATAAGATCCAACAGATTAAATGTTGAATATGCATTTCAATAATCGCGTCAAAAAAATACTGATAAATAATACGACTGAAATGATTACTACCTTAACCACTTCAAAATTTGACATTATTATTAAGTGCAGAAAACTGTAAAACCTTCGAAAGAATTAAATTCAGATATTTATTCTATATTTTAAGAACATACGTTTTTGCCTTCACTGCCATGTTGCAACAAAAACTGGTTAGAATAATCGTCCGCACAAATCTAAAAAGATTGTTAAAGCAAGATTTAAACTAATTTTCATCCAGTCAAGCAAGTGATCAATTCCAGATGCAGAAAATCAAACTTAGTATTCATGTGCGTTCGAATTGATAGCAGTTAAGAGAGATTTCGGAGTACAAAAAATCGTCCATATATTATTTTAAAAAAATGTATGTACTTACTGTTTTATCGTCTAATAAGGTCAATGATTTCAATCCTGTTAACATTAAATTCTTTGCCACTTCACTTCCACATCCTGACAAACCAACGATTAATACTGTTGAATTGCGCAACCTGTAAACGCTTGAATTCAACTGAGGCTATCACTCCGGGTTACTTTCAAACTGCAGCTTTGATGAATTATTTTTCTGAACTTACTAATTTCGAAATTTGTTATTACTGTCCTCAAAACGACTTTCTTATGTTTGCTTCCAACCATTTATTTCCATTAACCTTTCTTACTCGTCGATCAAAAAAATTGTCAAACTGCTGATTATATAGTTTCAATAATGAAGAAAAGATAATAATTGGATAGTTCATTAAGAAGGGTAATATCCCAAAAATTGATCCCGAAATTTCACTTATATCAAATTTCATGTTAGTTCTTTGTGAAACAAAATTTGTTCTTTGTGAAATAAAATTACACGAAATAAGAAAAACGATCGAGACAATTTTTTACAATTTAGCAGCAAGTGGCCATTTGCTGGAAAACTAGCCAACAATTTTTCAATTATGAAAATGCTCACTTAGAAAAATGGAAAGAATATTTTGAAAAAAAGAATGGTTTTCTTCACAAAAATAAAAGTAAACAAAATTTGAAAGAATGATAAATACACCACACTTACTAACCTATTCTGAGTTTCCAAACCCCACAAACGTATCTGTCGATCATAAACAGCTTTCTCATCTTCACTGATTGTATTTCCTGCGGCTGCAATCGCGTTAAAATTCGTCGATGACATCTTTTGACGCAGCTCTACCTATTGCGCTACTGGAAGGAAAAAAAGACGAATCTAGAAAATCTAAAAATTCAATTCCTGACTTGAATTTTTGCATTGCGATACTTTCCAACGCAACATTTCGATTCATTATTCTCTCTCTCTCTAACAAATACAAAAACGACAAATACCACGTAAGGAACCATCCCCCCAAATTCTTTTTCAACCCTGACACAGTACACATCAACAACCTCCCCGTACCATACCCAATCTTGAAAAAAGATTGTAGGTAACACCGTATCACGTAACCACGTGTTGCATGAAGCGTCCAACCGCAAAGTACTGGAAGTCCAATTTTAAGTTAGGTCAAATTGGGCCGAATGGGGGCCGGGTCATTTTTGAACTTTTAGGGGGTCTTTTTCTCAGGGGAGTTCGGAATTCTTTTTCTTATTATATTCAAATTCTTTTACGAATTAAATTGTGAAATTCGCTAGCGTTGAAAAGCTTTATTTGCTTTAAAATAAGCAGCGCGATGAGGATTTTTTCTAACAAAAGTGTCCGGACTTTGACACAAAAATGTCCGGAAACCATGCAACATTTCAGTTCTTTCCTTTCCCGATCCACGTTGCCTTTCTTTATTACTATTCTAGAAATTCTAACCCATTCTAGTCATTCCTTGTTTCTGTTTCTGAAATCTTTCCATCATATTTCTTGTTTCTCCTTCAGAAATTCTCAATCTCTTATTCAGTCCTTCTCTTCACCATTTGAAAATATTTGTCTTTTTCACCCTTTTCTACCTTCTCTCTGCAATATTAGTCGATTATATTTTTACGAAGCTTTGTTACTCTTGCTTTACTGGCCTCATCAAATATTCGAAATACAAATTTATGACAGTTTTCAATTTTTTCTGTGATGACGTAAATTTCTTTTCTCTTCTTTTTCTCCTATTCCTCTTTTTCCTCTTTATTCTTTACTTTAATTACAAGTCCATGCAAGTGCAAATGATGCAAATGAAAATCATGCAGACTATTACGGAATCGAGATTTGATATTGAGGTAATAATAGGAAATGAATGGATCAATGGAAGTTGATCCATACATATTATGAAATACTGGAGATGATCCTGGATCAGGAAAGAACAGCGCTTTCTGCGAGGTATTGGGAAATTGGAGATTAATCTGAGTGAAATTGAGGTTTTCTCGGATTTTAGGTTCTCATCATCACTTTTTTCACTTATTATTATCTTTCTAATTATTTGAAATTTTGAAGGAGAGAACTTACGCTTTCAAAAGCGATTTTAAAACATTTTCTGTTGGTAAATTTCGAACTTTTCAAACACGATAGCTACGTGCATTTTTGCTTTTTAGATATTTAGCTACGTGTATTTCTGCACAATATGTATGATGGTTAAATGTTTTGGTGTGAACTACAAGTGTGAATTCATAATGTTCAGCACTGGCTGCCATTGTCTCATTTCGAATCTGAGGGGAAGGTTGATTGTATAAATCACCGGATCCGTGACCGATATCGTTTCCTTGTGGAAAGAATCTCCAGTTTTTCCAAGTTGTCCGATCTAAGCTCTTTCATTATGACAACTCGATTACTGTACTGGAGTTGCCATTTGAGCTAGAAATGCTTTTGTTCTATGTATTGTTAATGTTCATATATTTCAGACAGAGAGCTCGCAATTGGAGATAACCGAAATAGACATGTTATTTTCAGTTTTCATATCATATCAAATTTCACAAGTTATGGAAGTCATTTTACTCGTAGTTATAGTTAACTAAGAATATAACACTGATGCTCATAAAATTTGTTTTGCATATTTGACGTATTCAAAATTTAGATGAATTAAATAGCCCGTGAATTTACTTATTGAAATAAGATTGAGACACCTTTTTAGGTATAATCGATAAAATGCATTCAAACTGTAGAATTTAAGAAATCTGTGTAATTTATTGGCTTGGAAAGTTATGCTGCCTTCTGATGGTTTTAATGATTAGTGTAAAATAAATGTGATTTATTTTACATTAGCATAAAATAAATATATAAAATTAAATTTGGAATAAAAATATCTGTTACTCCAAAAAATTACAAATTGCAGCATAAAGGAATCTATGAATAAGGAAAAGTTTTTCATTACAGTAAAACTTTTTAAATACCAGTTTCAAAAATTCAAATGAAATCTTAAAAATTAAACACTTTTACAAATTTTGTATTTTTCAAATTGGGCTTTAAAAAATGTTATGAGTATGAGTAAAGAATATTCCACTCTTTTATCATTCTTTTGGACATATTACATAAATACTGAATTGTGAAAAGATGCCTTTGTGTAAAACATTTTAACGAATTAAATCTTATATCATATTTGTTAATGAGAAAAAAAATGTAGTTTATTAATCGGAGTTCATCCTCAGATTGCAATTAGTCGAAATTTTAGCTCAAATTATGAAGTTACGCAATAAAGTTTCTGAATATTAAAAGTGTAAAGAGGGTGCTCTTGTCGCATTATATCAGCTAAGCCTATAAACAGATCTGAATTAGAATTGCAGAATTAAACTAAGGCGATTTAATTTTACAATAAACTTTTAGTCATTTTAATTCAATAAATTGAATCATAATAAAGCTTTGAAACTTTGCTATATAATCTTACTAAATTTCTTTCTAATCTTACGTGAATTCGTTTAAAGTTCATTTGAAAATTTATAAATTGGTTTTTACAAAAAGAATTTAGTGATTTATGAAAAAATTCAACAAGAAATTATTAATTTTTATGTTTCTGGTTTCAATGCAAAAAAAAGGCTGTTGAATTTGAAATTCTAAAAATGCTTAAAAACTAACAAAATTAAACTGAAATTCTGGTCCATAATATATCTGCACGTTATACGCTGACAACAGCTGTTTCTTATAAATGTTTGAGAAGAATGCTATGATCCATGAGTTTATTGGTTGCACATGTTGCTGAGGTAATGATCACTTCATATTTATGTCTTGCGAAGTCTTACATGAATGACCTCTTGTATGGAAGGTCAATTTATTATCAGCAGGCCGAAGGTCAACGAGCAACAACAGCTTCTTTGGACTATGGAAATCACGAATTAATTAATTTGATGCATTAAAAAAAGCAAAAAATTTCTTTAAAATACTCAGGTGAATTGGAATAAAGCTATAATGGATTCTAATTTCCAAATACTAAATGCTAATTTTGTCCCAATATGAATTATTGGTTGACATCAATTTTGAAATAAAATTCTATATAGTGGAAATCATTAAGGAATTCTATATAAAATGTTTTTGAAAAATCAGCGTAATATTGCAACGTCATGAGAATTATTTATTCTTTACATTATGCTTAAACTTTCTTGAATAATCAATGAATACCAAAGTTTTTCACATTTGATTATTAGTTTTAATGTTAATTATCGTATGCTCGGATAAGGTGAAAAAGTGAGAAATCTTATAACAGCCATTCCTTCTAAAATTTAAAACTTTTGGTAAAAGTCAAAACATACGTTTTTTTTAAAAAGACACATTTAATAAAATTCAAGTATGATACCAATTTTGCCCTATAAAAATTGAAATTTTCAAAAACTACTTCAAGAAAATGAAAGCTTTGCAACTTACTAATATCTATATTTTTCTATCTCACCTTCTATCTGTTTCTTTCTTCATATTTGTCTCAAAAATCTCATGTCTATCAATAATTACAGGCAATTAAAACGAGTTCAGCGTAATTAGCTCATTAATTATGATCGATCAATGGTAATCCAATTGCGCGAAATAGAACCGCCCATACTAACATTGAAATTTAGCCATATGTGAAGATATTCTGGTGATAACCTGTTGTTGAATAGTTATATATATTATAGGATTATTACCGTATTTCAATTGTATATACAGGATTGAAATCTGCGAAAAGGTAAATTACAGATTATAAACTTTTCAAATTTTCATTGAAAAAGTTAATCCCTTGGCTGAAACACTTTTTTTTACATTTAAAATTCCAAGTTTTTAAAATTTTTGAATCAGATTTTTAGCATAAGCTTAAGAAGAATTTCATCATTGAAATGAACTAATTTGTTCAGTTGGTTAGCTGACTAACTTATGCATACATGTATAAGTTATGCATACATATGCGTGTCCATATATTTATTTTATCTGTTTTAATTCTTTTTAATTATTAAAAATTAGTCTATAATTATGAAGCAAACCAATTTTCTTTTCTAGATTTTCATATTCTGTATATATGGAATGTCGTTTCATCAGTTAGCATTGGATAGTGGTTACGGTAGCCCCAGTAATTGTTTCTTACGATGTATGCATTCAGCAGGCCAAAATGTTAATGGAAGGAAAAAGGATGAAAATGATCCAAGTTATATTCATTGTTTTTCTTTCAAGGCAAATGAAGGTAATCAAAAGAGAAAACTAAAAGTTTGTAGGAAACTTTCTTGGGATTTGGAAGAAGTCGAGAAATGTACAACTGCAGCAAATTCAATTATTCAAATCAAAGGTAATGATTTCTAATTGTGAAATGATTTTATATCTTCAAAAAAAGAAAAATTCAAACCCCATTATTAATTAAAACTGAAACAAATTAGCAAATTCTGCTCACTCCACTGATTTGCAAGTTGTTCAAACTACCAGATATCAATTTTTGTTTGTTGTCATTCGACTGATTCAAATAAATATAAACTTGATCTTTGACTACGATAATCTTCTTCTATAAGTAGTCCAAAAGACAAAGGTCAAACTTAATCGACATCAAAAAATATGTCGAAGAGATCTGCTAATAAGTTTCAGATCAACGTATTACAGCTACAAGAGAAATTGGTGTCAAATTAATTGCTCTTGCTGATGCATTCGATGCCGAATTTTTTGGAAATTTAAATATTTCGAAGAAATATATGTGATCATTTTCAATACCTTGAAATATGCACTAAATTTTATGACATTTCAAATTGTAATTTACTTAATGTCATTAAAAAATGTGATAGCTTCCATTTGTTTATACGGTATATTTAATCAATTATGCAAAATATACTAGGTATTTGAAGTCAAAAACTGATAAATCCAAATATATTAAAAAACGTACGAATTGAAAAATTTGGTAGGAAAACCGATAATGTTGTTGTTAAAGTCACCACCACTTCCGATGGACTAAAATTTGATTTCTGATTTAAAGTCTTTGTGACGGATTTTCGCAGTCGTTTTCTGCTTTTCTTCTATCCCTCTGCTAATTGATCGATAGGCGCTTTATATAGTAATGTCAATGATAGAGATGTCTTTGGATAGCGAAAGCATTTATCTATTTAAATAGGAACAAAAATGAATCCCATCATTAATTAGATCGAATATTCAATCATTAAAGCCAAATCCATCGGTAAAGCGTCGGAACCTTTCTTTTCATCAATAATTCAATTGCTGCAAAATTGATCGGAATAAGGCAAAAATAGAAAGCAAAAAGGAAATAATTATATTTATTTGGTGATTCCGCCTATATGCCAAATGTTATCACTCGATGAGTTGTCGTCTTGACCATTTAATCTCCCGCACCTATTATTTCCATAAAAGTTTCATTCATATAAACTAAAATATGTATTGCTTGTTGCCACCGTTAATCATCATCAACATCATACATAAAGTATTGAGTTAAGCAGATCCCTCCGAAATATTTTCTGAAAGCTTAACGCGCATCTGGCTCTCATTGCATCTGTTATACCAAAAATCTCAACTAGAAATGATAATCTTTGTGATGAGCTTTCTTTCGCAGAAAATTACTCCTCTAAAAAAATGTGCATTTCGTCCTCTTTTAAAATTCTAATTTAATTTTAAATCTTAAATATAATGCCAACAATGTGCCACATTTCTGCCAGGTTGCTTTTGCATGGTTGTATGCTTTGAATTCCTTTTTCAGACAATGAGATAATGGCACATTGTTACTGATAAATTAAAATGTTCTCGATATGTTAGAAATTGAATCCGGAAAAAAGAACGTGAACCAATTTTAAATAGAATCCAATTTTACTAAAAAATTCTGAATGCTGAATAATTATAACTGAATTTTATTTAAAATGAAGTTTTGCCAATTGAGTAAAACCGTAATGAATAACACAATATAATGAAATCCATGATATAAATCATGGGGCAATTACTTGATACATCATACTTCTGACATTAGACCTTCTTACAAATTCATCAGATACAGGAATTCAATTGAACGATAAAACGACATAAAACATAAAACATTTTTAATCTTGATTAGAGACTAAGATGTTTTTGTGCTGTTCAGAGAAAATGAAATGATCATAAAACATGATAAAGCGGAAGATTAAAGATTGGAAGTGAAGGAAGATAGAACAGCGGTGAGAATAACAGTTGTTTCACAGTTACGGATAAAACTTTTTCGAACGAAAAAATATTTGGAATATTGGGAAAAGGTTTCAGAGATGGGATGAATCAGGGAATCTTATTTGTGTGTCATGCGTGAACGCTTTGGTTTCTTTGTCACCTCTGAAAAAACTTCGAAGATCAAGAATTGTAAGGAACTTTCGAAAACTTCAGCAAAGATGAAACTATTTGGCCTTTCGGACCAGTAACTTTTCAATATAAATAAGAATGAAGTCAAAAGAGATTTTCGTTTGCAATTTTTAATTAGAATTATGGAAGTTCCGAAAGCTTGCTGCGTCCACTTTCGAAGCGCTCTCACAGGAAGAAATTTTCGGCTACCATGATTAGAATAGTGCACAGAAAAATTAATATTTCCAATTCCGGAAAAACCTTTCCTATTTACTAAACAAGTATCCTGTATCCGAGATCATGTAACCGAGTAATCAGCGATCCTATTTCTCTTTAAAGCTTTTATTTCTTTTTGAACTCATTTAAACTTCAACAGTAACTACATAACTAAGCAATATTTGATTAATTTAACTGCAAGAACTATCAAGATGGGTAAAGGAAACAAGATTTTGATTGTGGAATGCAGATTAAGCTTAAAATTGGAAGGAAATAAAATTGCTGCTGATCAGTATTATATTCAAATTTTGTGATGTGGAGAAGATCTAAACAAGAAATATGGAAATTAAGAACAAGACGCAACTCCAATAAATTCATAAAATTAAAAATTCAAACTAGCACAGTCTTAATTCTTCCAACTTACTTTTAGCTAACAAAGAAGTTCGTGCAGAACGTGCCGACGTTGTATCACCATTTGATGCTGAACTCGTCTCACTTATCTTACGTTTTTTCGGTGTTTTCTCAATTTCCGCCGAGTGAGATGTCGATTTAGCGGCTAAAGTGAAACTTTTTTTGAAATACGTTTCTTTATGAATTTAAGACAAATGGTATATGTCGGATTATTTATGCAATCTACTTGGGATATTACTGCTTTACAGCTAGGAAAATCCATTTACTGTGTTCCAGAAACACATGGGTGAGTTAAGATCAAGATCATAACTACGAGACAGAGACATGTAAACAACGTTGATAGCTTAAAAAGATCAGTTAATGGAATCATTTTTGATTTAAGTCGGGAAAAGCAAAATTTTTCCTATATATTTCAAACTTTTTTAAACTCTGTAGTACCTTTGGCTGCAGAACGGGTAAGCATACGATGTGGTGGGCTGGATTCTTCACTAGCTGAAACACAGTTTCTTAAATGAATTTGTGTTTAATCACTGAAATCACAACAGGTGCTTTATTATTCATTCTGAAGTAATAGTTCAAACTTGTAATTCCCTGACAAACTTCTCGACCGAGACGGGTTAAAGGGAGGTTTGAAATATCTTTACAGCATCTTTGACCGGCAAAACATTTTTGGATCTTTATAACATATGATCCAACTACTAAGGAAAACCCTTTTCTATACGTAATTGGGCAGTCTAATAATCCAAAAAATTTTCAGTAAACTTGCCGATATTTGGAGATTGTGAGTCACTATGGACATCGTCAGCATCATCGTCTCCATCAGTAGCTAAAATGCTTTTTTAATCTAAATAGAAATTTGACGTAACTACTTTCGCAATTTTTAAGACAAACTGCCTGTTATTTTCTTTAATCTCAGAGGTAACAACTTATGAGTAACAAAAGAAAAATTTATGATTCTATTTAAAAGAAATCAAAATGGAAGTAATCTTGTCACGTTGACAACATGCTAGATACGGCACTGTGACAATTATATTTCTTCTAGCCTCGACTCATTTCTTTTGTCTCTTGCAGTATTTCTCATAGTAATCATTAGGAGTTACTAAGGTACAACGGAATAGTATGACAGATGAGGTGGTGAAAATCATTTTGCGAATGTTATTCGCCAATTCCATCTGTTTATACGTAATCCAACCTTCACCACTCCATTTCCAGTATTTTCCTACATAATTTAACTGTAAATCGAATTTAAAGATTGCTAAAAACAATACACCTCTGGTTAGTTCGGGTTTTCCGCTGTTCTTCATTTCAGTTTGATGACGAACTACCAGTGGCATATTGATTTCTGCTGAATCAGGATCAAATTTATCTTCATGTTCCAGCGATACTTCTTTCGTTATCTCCATGTCCTGATTTTCACTTATGATTTTTTGGTCGATTATAAGGTCTGCGCGATTTGGTTGAGAATTCGTAGCGATCATTACTTCATTGATATTAACCTCTTCTGAGTGAGTGGTGAATATACCGCTGTCTTCTGGATTACTTTTTATTTCTAGCATTTCTCGCTGCTCACCATCGAAAGCATTTTGAAGTGCGTTACCCAAGACAACAATGGAATTATCCTGTTCTGCGTAATCCCGAATATCCGGAATAGCATAACCTTCATGGACCAAAGGCTGAACAGTAGATACTTCGCTCGCATTCACCAAATTTTCCAGTTGTCCCTGCTGCTGTTGTTGGAAATAAGTTTCCACAACAACTTCATTGGCGACATCCATATTATCCTGAAAATGAAAGCGGAGGATTAGATTAGAGCTGTCTTCTCAAAAATGATTTTTAGTCATCTAGTACGCAAATAATAACCATCACTTTTATTGAGATTTAAATCAAGAAAGCAGTAATCAAAGTAGCAATACCGGGTAAAGCACATCAGAAGCATCGAAATCAACCACCATTTCCGGAATATCACCATTGAACTTTTCCTCCGCCATTCGACAATTTATGCTTGCTTAGGTATTATTTCGATGGTAAGACCGGAAATGTAAAATGAGTTAGCAGTGGTAAAGGAAGTTTCCGACAAAAATTTCTGCATAAAGGTTTCTAAACTTTACGAGATCCATTCTTAATGACAACCAATTCTGCTCTTCGCCTAAACCTTGCTTTATGCAGTTCTATTTCTTCCTTAATGTTTTTTGGTTTAAAAATATAGATCTAGTTCTGCCTATCATCTAGATTTAATTACCATTCACCCATAGTCTTTTTAATTCATCTAAATCTTGAACAATGTGTCAAATATGCAAAACAAACTTTATGAGCATCACTTTTATTTTTTCTTAGTTAACTATAACTACAAGTAAAATGACTTCTATAACTCGTGAAATTTGGTATGATCCGAAAGCTAAAAGCAGCATGTCTATTCCAATTATCTCCAATTGCGAGCCCTCTGTTTGGAATATACATTAACAATGCATAGAACAAAAGCTCAGATAGCTCAGATGGCAACTTTAGTACGGTAACCGAGTTGTCATAATGAAAGCGATTAAATCGGACAGCTTGGAAAAACCAGAGATTCCTTCCGCAAGAAAACGATATTGGTCACGGATCCGGAGATTTATATAACCACACCTCCCCCTTAGATTCGAAATGAGACAATGGCAGTCAGTATTGAACATTATGAATCAAGACTTGTAGTTCGCGCCAAAACATTCAACCACCATACATATTGTGCAGAGAAATACACGTAGCTAACCGTCTAAAAAGCTAAAATGCACGTAGCTATCGTGTATGAAAAGTTCGAAATTTACCAACAGAAAATGTTTTAAAATCGTTTTTGAAAGCATAAATAAGTGGTGAGGACTGTGAATGTCTAATGATTTGATAGCATGGCTAAATGACAAGCGTAATCCTACGTGTACTATTTCAGAAGATATTTTTTTGAGTTCAAATTGCGCAATGTGGATCAGTGGTTTCTCGGTTTGTGTGAAACTTGTAATTTGCACACCTTTCTTCGACTAGTTTTTGTAACTATCAACTGTTGTATACAAAAGTGCACAACTGCTGTTGCCGATTCCGTGTGTACCATTCATATCGGTTTTGTGTGTAACTATAAATTACTTGTTGCACCTTCAATTTGCATTACCGATTTCATGAACAGCTACTTACCAATTCCGCATGTGATCATTTGCATGACTCACTATTCAATTTTATCAGAGATTGAAATGTTGGTTGAATTTTCGACCGAGCAAGAAATGAAGTACAGAAAGAAATGATCAAATTTAAATTTTATATTTACATGGTCGACAAAGTGCAGTACGCTTCAAAAATTTGCGGAAGCATGGGAATAAAATTGTTACCAGTGGTTTCTTGATCTTAAAGAAACGACCAGAAATGTGATAAAGCGTGCAACATATTAATCTTTAATGAATTCAAATTTAGTTTCAGTCAACTATTTAGATCTAATGAATTTAATCTGATTATCACTAAAACGTCCTAAAGAAATATTTCAATCGATTGACGGATTGTAATGATCATGGCTTAACAGAATTTCAGGACCAAATGATCCAAATTAATCTGATCACTAAGAGAAATTCTTCTATATGCTGACAAAATTAACAGAAAGATAGAAAGGCTCATCAAAAGTTAGCGATATTGTTAATACCTTTTTTTAATCATTTTGCAAAATTCACGCAAGGCGATACTAAAGATTCAAATTTTGGACAGCAACCAAATCGTATTTCTGATATTCTTAAGATGTTTAGAATGAAACAATAAAGCTGCTGATTATTCAGGAGTCAACAGATATGACATATAGAAGAGTGACGGGTACCATGTAATGCGACTATTTCCCGAGATAACTAATATGCACATTTATTTTGTTAGAGAATGATTAGAGATATAGATAAGGTGATGGTAATAGCTGCCAGCATTCGGCCTCCAGATCGTTAGCGGAAACTATTGAATTTAGCTTAAAAAACCACGTTTCAAACTCAGGTCTCCGATCTCACTTTTATTTCTCAAATGTGTTACAAGATAACCATTTTTCAATTTTCTAAATACCGGAGAATCTGTCACCCCAAAAATTTAAGAATTTTCATAACAGTCATACTAGCACATAGTTATATCGTTGACTCCTGGATAATCATTGTACGTGCAAGTTAGATTTTCGAATTTTCGAAAATGAATTGTAGTACAAAGAACTGATTTAAAAGCATTTATTTCATGTTCACATTAACTCAACATACATGCTTTATTTTCCAAAACGATGCATGAAACTTGACAAGACACTCTCATCATCATTTTACTAAACGTCAGGAAAAAGAAAGAAAAATGCTAATGTGGAGTAACTTAAAAATCTGGAAAATTTCAAAATACTGAGAAAAATTAAAAAACGTAAAATTATATATATAATTTCTACATAAAAACCCATATGAGGAAAAAAGGAAACTTAAAACACCTCAGAACACTTTTGTACGTGCGAAATTTGATAAGAACGAAAACCTTTCCACTCCTAAAATTTTGTATACAACGTACGTCAAATTTTTTTTAAAGGAAAAATTGAAAAACTTCTAATGATAATTTGACAGCAATATCATCGCTGAATTTCGCATCTTAAGGATGAAAACTTCGTGTTCACCGAATTCTCACAACCTTGTAATCTAATAACAAACGAAGCATGTGACGTGCGATGTGTTGTGAAAATGGATAATTCAAGATAGATATGTATACTGCCCAGAGAGAGATAACGTGAAAATCCAGTAAGATGACCAATCTGGATAAAGATACCATAAAAACGCTGGGACAAATCTACGGGATCATTCAAAAAATTGGATAATCAATAAATTCATTTCATCTTCTCTTCCAAAACCTGTGCAACAGTCCTGAAATAAGAATCAGAAGACTAATTATACAATTCATCATACCTCAGAAACATTTCTACACGAAAACAATGGATGAAAAAACAAACTACCAATTAATTAATGACTGTAAATATAAGGCTTTGACAGTAAAAATTGTGAACTAAAATAACTTACTTTCGTCCAACACGTAAGAAACTTTTCTTTGGGGCTTCTAAAAAAACGACACATGAAATATAAGCGAAAAAGAAGAAAATCTAATGTCAGAATCGCAAATCCTATTCACTATCTAAATTGACAAATTGAACCAATATTCTGTTGTTTTTTGTTGGATAATTCATAAGTATCCATAAGCATAATATCCTAATTTACTAATAAATTAAATCAATTCATTAACACTAATTAACCTACTACTTCTCAGATTTATCGTGTCAATTAGAAAAAAAATTTAATTAATGAAACATTATGATTACGTAAAACAAACCATCTATTTTCGCCAAAGTTGGTTCAAATCCTGACAAAATTCGCTGCTTGGGAGGTGATCCACTTTCACTTTTTGCTGGAAAGAATAGAATTTGAACCACTTCAAACTTAACTGTCAGTTCTGACGAGTAATCTGAACAGCAAATAATTAAAAATAATATCCGTTTTAAGTAATTAAATATAAAGGGAGAAATGTTAATTTTCAGCTGTTACATTCAATACTCAACTGTACCATTATTCTTACCTTTTCTAGCTGAACGAGTCAGCATAGGATGAGACGTAGCCGAAGTATTGTTCACTGAAAAAGACCATGATGAAAGGAAAAATGACTAATTCAATCAATATCTTCACTACTCTTCTAAAAAGGATTCAGAATCTGCAGATGATATGATTTAGAATTTAAAAGAAATATGTAATCTATTTAATCTATAAGTATGTAATTTAAAAGCAATAATACATTGGGATATTTCTGACGCAGCTCGTCTTCGTCGATTCGGTGAAGCTTTTGGGGTTAAAGCTGGAATAGGTTTCTCGATTGAAACACCAACGAAAAGAATTTATATGGTAAATTAAAGAAATAATAAGTAAACGCAGCAGTTATTCTAAGTTCTGCAATGTTGTTAGATTACAAAATTATCAGTGGTATTTGCTAGAAAATTCATTTAGTTTTTAAGTGGCACCACAAAGTTGTACTTAATGATAACCTTCATCTTGTTCTGACTGTGTTCGGCTGCAGCGAAGAGATTTCCTTATTGGAGAGCCTGAAAAATTAAGAGAAATGCATTTACTCAGTAATGTAAGGAGTTGAAAAAAGTTGAAACTGAAATGTGATTATAACTAAATTTTCATTGAAAACATTACCCATCAACTTCTCATTTTGTATTTCCTAAGCTACTTGATGGTCATAAAGATATCATGAGAAACTGTTTTTACCTATTTTTTTACATGTGTGACAGTTATTTCATAACCTACTTTTGGTTGATGATGTGGTTTGAGTTGATCTCTCCGATGTTGCTTCGAGACTGTATGTTGAACTTGCTTCACTTTCCGAATATTGTCTTCGTATTTTCTCAGTCCTGGGCAAACTTTTAGTCAAAAAAGTAGCTCGAGTTGAATGTTTTGGTGTCGTTTCTCGACTACATGGTGAACTAGTTCTACTTTCTTGACGTTTTCGTCCTGTTTTTTTAGTTTTTAGTGAACTTCTAGCCGAAGATACAGCTCGAGCTCGACATTTTGGTGTTGTTTCTCGACTGCGTGGTGAACCTGCTCTACTTCCTGGACGTTTTCGTCCTGTTTTTTCAGTTTTTAGTGGACTTTTAGCCGAAGATAAAGCTCGAGTTCGACATTTTGGTGTTGTTTCTCGACTGCGTGGTGAACCTGTTCTACTTTTTAGACGTTTTCGACGTGTCTTCTCATTTTTCGGTGAATTTTTGGCTGAAGATGTAGCTCGAGTTGAGCGTCTTGGTGTTGTTTCTCGGCTATGTGATGGACTTGCTCTATTTTTCAAACGTTTCCCTGACGCCATCTTAAACTCCGGCGACAGCGATAGCAATTTAGTTGCTGAAATTTATGAATAGTCTTAAAATTAAGGAGCTATAAGCTCAAATAAATTTTTTATGAATTTTATGAACATCAATAAGTGGTACCAGTTGCATTACCTCTAGCTGCAGAACGAGTAAGCATTCGATGTGACGAAGTGGATACTTCACTATCTGAAATGACAAAAACTTTAATCCATCATTTTCCAAAAATATATCTTACACTATTCGGTCCCACATAAAACTAGAAATTGTTGACGATTATAAGTAATGATGAATAATAAATGTTTAGCAAACATACCAGAACTCGATGATTGAAATGAATCGCCGTAAAAGGTTCCAATTGTTTGCTCATTATCAGCAGTATCTAAAAAAAATTCTATCACATAAACAAAAATTAGCTTTTAATATCTTCTCATTGACTTATCTATTTTACCATGCTTGTTCCGAGGAATCTTTTCAAATTCTAGTATACTTCTGAAACTAAAAACCGGTGACCAAAAGATAATGCATGCTGAAAAAATGCCTTACTCTTTATTCAAAAAATAACTGCTTTGATCATGTGATCCGGAAAAAAAGAACAAACATAATATACCTTTTTGTTTGGGTCCACGCTTTCTACGAGAAGGACTTACTGGTTCAGAAAACTCGACTTCGGCTTCTGAAATAAGGAATTAAGAAACAAAGATTACCATTTTCTATTTCACCACTATGAGTTCTAAATATTTCAAATCTTAGAAAGAAATACTTTTAGCTATAGATAAAAATTGCTCCGATATTATTTTCTGTGTTACTGGAATCAGTGAGTAGGTACTCATTGATTTCAGTAGCACAGAAAATAATGATAATCGATAAATATATTAATGAAAAATGATACTGATAATCGATAAATATATTAATGATAAAATGATCATGATGTTGATGCATATGCAAACCGCTTTGTGAAAATTTTTTATATTGCATTTCCTAAGGTTCTTTTAGCTTATTTATGTCTTGAAGTTCGATTTAATTCGTAAATAGCTACCAAATTAAACGGACACTTCAAATTCACATTCCTATATTCATCCAATGAAATTTAAAGTTTGACAAAAATTCAAAATATAACGATGAAACGTTTCAGAATTATCTCCCAGGCATCAACATTACAATAGCAAATATTTTTTTTTGCGAAAGCTATAAAATTCACGAAATTTTAAGTTCAACAGTTACCTTCCTCTTCGTTCGATCCTTTGCATGTATTCGTTAGTTCCATTTCACAAACCATTGCTTTTTCGATTTCCGTGGAAGTTGGGTCAGTTTCATCCTCTTGCTCATATGAAACTTTTTTCTGCGACGATTCATTCACAATAGATGCGATATCACCTTCCATTTCGGCTGCCACTTCATCACTTAATCCTTTTTTCAACGGTTTTGGAGAGATTTTAATCTCAACAGCAGTAGCATGTCTGGAGATTTTGGTGGTAGCTAATGCTGACGTACTTCCAAGATTACCATCAATTTCCTGTATACTTTGTTCTCCCTCCTTGTGTATATCAGAAACGACGTTTTGAACTCCTGCATCCAACGGAATGTCTGGATCCTCCTGTTCTTCATAACTCACTGTCACTAGAGGTGTACAACTTTCCTGAATTAAAGAATTTTTATTTCTCATAACCGACGGCTCAGTTTTATCGTGACTTTTTATCTCCTCTTGCTTTTCGAAGTAATGTCCTAGTGGTCTTTGATGGGCTTCATCCCGTCTTTCCTGATCATCCACAATATCTGAATCACTCTGCACCTCAACTGATACCTTGTGTGGATTTGCTTGGTTTGTTGCATCAGTAGATTCACTTTTTTCTTCTTTATCTATTGAAATTTTCAACTTATCCTGTAGTTCCAAGTGTTTGTCCAAGAAAACCTCCTTGTTCATATCCGTAAAATCCAATGAATCCTTTAAAAAAAAATGCAATTCCCAACCAAGATAAGCATATGTGGATTTTGTTTTCAGATCAGTTTCTCTATTGAGTTTGTCACTACAAGTGATAAGTGAAAAAAATGCTTTCCAATATTCTGGAAAATACTTCATAGTGTAGTGAAATATGAACCGAAGCTTGTCCTTCCTAAGCATAGATTATTGTTAAACAAGGACTAAATGTCTCTTTATTAAGAGAAAAAAGAAGAAAGAAGCTTTAATAGAATACCGAGTTCAAAACATCCAAAGTATCGATACATTTCCTTTTGGTTGGATCATCGTCATATTTTTGTCCTTCTACCTGACTAGTATTTGAAGGTATGCTAAAAATGAACAACTGAAATAAAGAAAGCAATTGCTTTTTTTCATCCAAAACTTCGTCATCTAATCAAAAACAGTATCTAAAAATAACATCATACCTATCACAGTTAGATATGAGTGAGTTCGAAAGGTCGAAGCGAAGACTTTTGAATTGCGATTCTGTTACTGAAACTTGCAAGAATTAAGTTAAAAAGAAATGTTAAAAAATACTAGTTCTTTGAATGTCAGTACTAAAAAAAGTTCAATTTTAGCAGAAGAATACCGTCAGCCGGTGTATTCTCATGTTGACGCCCTTTTCGAGTCTTCAAAATAGAAGCCGGTAACAGAATTGGAGAGAACTGGTTATCTATCAATGATGAAAATGAATCCTCTGTTCGTGTTCTGAGTGCATAACGACGTCGTGGTGTGGGTGTTTGTAACAGGCGATGAACATTTTCAAGATCCTCCTTCGGTAAAATTCTGAAACGAAATTTTTTTGAAAAGCTAATATAAACTCGAAATTTTTTACGAAGTTAAATTCTTGGTGAAAATTTATGAAATAACCTCTCGTAATTCGAAATACGTCTGTCGCACACCGGACTTGTAGGACAGTTAGATGCTTTAGGAGTTATTTCTAATCCAATTGACTTACGGGCAACATCATGCAGTTGTTGTGTCTCCAGCATTCCAGGCTTATTATATAATCTTTAACAGATTTCTTATCAAGTGACAAGTTATTCTAATACAACAGAATTATTTTTTAGGATTCCAAAAATCACAGGTTCAGGAATAACCATTTTTTAATCCATTACATTTTCTTCATTTCTAGGTCGTCGAAAAGTAATAAATTTACGAATCTGAATAAGTTATCTTTTGGAATTTATAAAAATAAGATGTGTTTTTTCAAGGCACTTAAGAATTCATTATGAACAGAAAAGAAACCTCATGGCTGGTGACAGGTATGGATGCGCAGCTGCAGATTGTCTGGATGGTGTATTTCTTATCATCTTTCCACCGCCATCTTAAAAATTTACGTCTTTTGAAAATTTCACTTGTTCAATATATTTGGAATTAAAAATATATTTTGCACCTGAATTTTTTATTGTCGGAGGAGCACCATGTGTAAATGGATCATCTGTTCGAATTAGTGGGAAGTCTTCCAAAATTTTTGCTGCCCATCGATCGCAACGATCTAAGAGGACTCCATTCTTTGGTTTCTCTGGCTGAAAATTCATCTCGTTTTTATTTATTTAACAGTAAATTATTTCATTTATCTATACCAGTTGTTCCTTTCGTCAAAAAATCAAACATCCAAAATTTATAGTTCAAGCTGTCTACCGAAGTATTTTAATTTTTGGAGTATATACCTGCAATCAATGAATGACAAAGAAAATCATGTCACAAAAACTTACCGGTAAAAGACGATTAAACATTTTACGCCTTAAGCAAAAACGGTTCCATTCACGAATTCCATTAGGCCTTTTCAGCAAGTTTTCTAAAGAAGCTGATTGTTGCTAATGAATAATCGTCGAATGAGCCATTTACGAAGTAAAAATTAAACTTTTAAACTTAACAAATACTTCATGTTACCATATAAAAAATTATAAAACATATCAGCCCAATTATTAATAATTTAACATGTTCATTGAAATGATATTCAAAGCATCATAACACCTCTTATAAATTCAATTTCTTTCCTGTCTAGAATCAAACGCTTCATAAGTCGTTGAACCTCACAAACGGGCTCTTCCCCCTCTGCGTCAGTAATCGTGATTCTTCCATATTTGATGGACAGTTCCTAAGTATTAAAGCATAATTTAAGTAATTATTTGCAAGGTCATGAAACATTCAAAAATGCAAAACTGATAATCACTTGATGTCAGTTTGTTGATTTTAAAACTTTCGTGAAACATGGAATGAGTTGAAAGTACTATTAATCACGGTCACATGAGTGAAACTATTCCATATGTCACTATAGTTCAAAATATAGCTTGATATAACCCTTAAACAAAATTGTGAGGTGAAGTCGTAGCAAGCACTGAATCTTGTAAAGAACCACTATAGTAGTATAAGTAATACCTCTAGTCCACAGTCGTTTCTCCAATTTGACTCTATTTGATTATATATCGCTTGGTTCCTATATGGAAAACGCCATTTGAAACGATCAAAAACTTTTGGCTCCTAAAATTTTATTAAATCTTAATTTAATAGTGAACAAAAGTCAAAGTCTTGATTAAAATATTTCTCTTTTCAGAAAGGGAAGGGAATTTACAATATTTATGAAAAAATGATGCTTTCTAATGACTTCAAAAATAATTTGGATATCCATAAAACTACAAACCTTCTTCATAAGATCATCATAATCAAGCAAAAAATATCCAATCAACTTGTGTTTTGATATTTCAGTGATCTTTATTGCAAGTGTAGCCGAAAGCAGGGCCTAGAAATATTTTCAAGCGAACTATAGGGAAGTATGATTATATACATTTGCTTAATGATGATTAATAAATACGGTTGCTAGGTATCATTACGCTTTACTTTCCAATACTATTCTAGCTATAACGGTGTTAATTTTATTTAATTATTGTCGAAATATATTGAGATGAATTATCATAATAGCTTCAAGCAAATCAAAGATGGCGCCGCTGCTCATTGACTGAATACCATTTAAATTTAATGACTTAAACCGTCGACGGTCTTATTAACTGAATAATTGGATAGAATGGTAAAATAGCTAATATTACTACATTTTTAAAGAAGTTGATTACTTGCTGCTAAGAGATGAGCTGCATTAAATACTAAATTCAAAAGTTCCCAGTATCACTAGAACTTACACCAATTGAATTCGGTGGATACCATTCATCGGCAGTTAGACCAGACCAAAAAATTTCGTTAGGACAAGCACTTTGCATTTCTTCCAGCAAATTTATTATATATAGCTTACTGCTGAAAGGAAAAGTAATATTGATAATGGGTAAGAAATAACAAAGATATTGATGATGTGAAAATACAAAACAGATTATTTTTTCCCCTTAATCAACTCATTGGTTCATTTGTCAAGGATCCCAATCTTAGTCTTTTTGTTTTTTGTCGAACTGTGACGATGCCTCGTTTATATAACCGATAATACAACAGGAATACTGAGAGTGTTTAATCTTTAAAGATTCTAATCCATTTTTCTGGAAGGAAAAGATGAAAACACATAGAAATGAATATTACAAATTGTGGAGATGCTACTGCTAATTTGAACATCAAAATTTAGTATTGAACTTACCCTGGAGCTAAACGTTTTTTACGTTCATCCACTTTTGCTTTCATGCGAGCATTAACAGCAGTGTAATTTTTTATTGGAAGCAATCCAACATAATGGAAAAGAAACACTACATTCGTGTAAAAAACCAAATTTCTAGACGCCACCATATTATAATTTGAAGTAGTTGCTTCTGCAATCTTTTCTGCAAGAAACAAGGTCATTAACTCTAGTTAATAAAAAACTTCTTACTTTCCCTATATTTTTCTTAAATAATCGATGAAATTAACTTTTCTCGAAGCATGAAAACTTTTTTCCTAGAAACATAAGTCATCGAAACGTTAATCACAAAGAAACAATTATTTGCTTGGCCATAAAATTTGCATATCTGCAAATCAAAGTATTCAAAGAAAGAAAGTTAACAAACCTGATGGTACTCTTTTCGAAATTTCAGCAAACAGCTCAGCAGCATAATGAAAAATTCCTGCACTGTTTCGCAACCAGTACATGTCTGCAGCTGATAATGCTCGCGGAATACGATCAAACCATGGCTCTGCTGAAAGTTAACATCAAATATGTAATGTAAATATTTCGATATAATTATATTTGTTACAAATTATCCAGGAAACGTAACACTTGTGAACGTGATGCATTTTTCCGTATAAAATCTCCACTTCCTGTATTGTGCTACCGTTCTCTTCTCATAAGTTTTTTTTGTACTTTAATCTCGGATCAGTTTTCAACCAGAGCATGTTATTCGTCAATTAATTTAAATAATGATTAAAATTCAAAACACTTGAATTACAAATACATGCAATGGCATATCAAATATCCACTGTTCAAATTTGCTTTTCTCATTTTAGTACAGATATTTCATAAATTGCAATCCTTTTACAGGATTCCATTAAGACTTAATTTTAGGATTCAAAAATATAAACAAATGAATAACATAAAAGCTTACAAAGTTCATCGAATTTTTGTTTTGCATTAACGACTTCTTTCCATATAAGTGAAGCGATCTGATGGATTGTATCATAGCTTGGACACGCGATAATATGTTTTTTAAGTGTATCGTTGATTTGACCATTAAATAGTAGTGATGAGATGATTACGGATTCCTGATTATAACATTATTCAATTTATACTATTTGATAAAAACGATTTGATTTAGCACTGGAAAAATTGGAAGGAACCACTAGTTGGAAAGAGCTATTGATGCTGTAGTTTCTGATCTTTGAAGGACATCGCCTCGGTCTCACGAAAAAAGTTATACTATTTTAAAAAATGAGTAATCAAATTTTCAATTTTTTTAATATACAAAACCAAATTTCAAAAAATACATTTTCTAGCGGCACTGTTGACGTTTGACTGCTTTCGAAGATATCAGCAGGTGTTTTTGCAAGACCAACTGCATTCAAATATGCGCATGCAAGATCAGACTTCTGTCCAATTGCATCATCGAAATTTTCATCAAGCCATTTTAATACCTACGATAAATGCATTACGAGGATGGAAGTATTGGTTATAACTGCGTAAATAATTTTGGCTTTCTAGGAATTTTAGAAAAAGCTTTTCGACCATCAAGGTCAACCGTCACTCCGAAAATTTTGAAAGATGCAATGGAAAGGACTTACAACTTTCTGCATAGACGGCACGAATATCGTAAATTCGCGGTTCCCATCAAACGTGATAATTTCGAATGAATATGATGGTGCAAATATAAAAAAGTCATTTGTTTCGCTATATGGACTTTGGTGCTGCCAGACACCAGAAAAATTTACCAAATAATCCTTGAAATTTTTAATTTAAAGAGATTTTGTCAATGAATTCTGATTTAATTTCTAATAGTTCTGGAGCATAGTATACGAACTGTTTAGTAAAGCTAGCCGTTTCACAATGTATGAGAAAATAATGGGAAAACAAAAAAACTCACAAGACAAGTTAACTGATCATTTGCGATCGGTAATGTAAACAAGGACAGGAAAGGGTTAAGCTTCATATATCGTTCTGTAAAAATGACTTGTCGAGGCAAGCGTTTGTAATAAAAGGCGTTCAAGTCGAAAAGTGCACCCTAGAAAAATCACACTTTAAATAGATTCTTACGCCGCATTGAAGCTGTAACGTGACGCTACCAAAATACTTAGTATTAAGTTATAACTAAGTCATTACTAACCTCTACGCAAACACTGAGGTAATGAATAAGCAAGCTGCTTTCATCGCTGTTAATCTTACGTAAACATGAGGCAATAAGCACGTCTTTGAACTACTTAAAACAGAAAACAGAACGAAAAATAAAAAATGGTTCTCGAGCATGATTTCAATTTAAATTAACTATCTCTACTTAACCAATTAATACCTTAATAGTGTTCTTAGTAGTTTTCCAAACCATTAATATGCGCGAAGTATCAGTCATATTTACACGTAGAAATGATTCCTCGGTGCTCAATAATCTATAATAAATATTTTTAAACTTTTAATAGTATTATTCACTTTATGAAGTTTAATCTAATAATGAAATAGCATATTGTTGATATTTTCCAGAAGCAAAAATATGATGGGACATCCACAACTTTCTCAACTAAAATGTACACCAAAATAAACTCTAAAGAAATAGAAATCTGTTGCTATCGCTCAACTCAAGCAAATTATTCCTCTCTTGGGAACAAAGATGGAAATACTATCTCGACCATTAATTAATAAATTACCGTTCCGAAATGCTATTCCTTGTAGCATATTCTCTGGAAGGAGATGATACAACAGTTCGGAAAGAAAGCCATTCAATGCACTCTTCAGGACACCACTACAAAATTATTTCATAATTTTATCAAGTTCAAGTTGAAGTGATGTCAAATTTTTGAAAATTTTTGAGTGAGAAACAATACTTTCAAGAAAAGTTGGACGCTATTAAATTAAGAGATAACACTATTAAATGAAAGTGAATGAAAAGACTCTTACCGTAAGGTAATTTATAATCACTAAATCATTGAAAGTCCACTCATTAGGAGGATGTCCTTCATCGTTTGGAAAATTAATCACAAATAATATTGCGTTTGGATTTTTTTGCATTCTGAAATCCATTGATAAATGACTTGCCTTATAAAACGGATATGATAAATATAACATATCTGCAACACATAAGTCCAGAAGATCATATAAATGAGCTTCATTATGGTGGTAACAAATCAAATATTGCTAGGCGCACTTAAAAACTGCATAATGACACTTATATTATGATAGAACTGCCACTTATCTCATTACTTATTCCATTATTTAATAAGCCGATTCAGAAATGAACTAAAAATAAAATATGTAGAACCACACCCTTTAGAATAGGCAACCCAGAGGTATAATACAGGACGTGGATCATCCATTGGTTCTTGGCATGAAAAGCTGTAAACTGGAGAAGACGAGTAATAATATGATGCACTGAAAAGAAAAAAATCGTTGAACATTTGATGTTGCAATAATTTCATCTTTTCATTCATTTAATAATTTATAGTAAAATGCTCCAAAAATTTTACATCCTACGTGAAACAACTATAATCAATGGATTGGAAGGAAGCTATTCAATAGTTAGTATCATGAATCAATCTCGAAAAATTGCTGCATGCATTATGCAATGCATGATTATGCAGTCATTAAAAAACGGATTATACCAAATGGCGCTGAGCACTTCTAGAAGATTTGATTAATAAGTATGAAATGTTTGAACCAAGATGAATAAATGTCTAATGAACAAAAATCCCTGCACTTTAATGAATATCTGATATATTAATGGTATGGACTTACTCATTGCCATTAAAAAGATTAACAGTGATAAAAGCACCACAAGAAAAACCAATCACAACTGTTTTGCATCGTTCCAAGTAAGTCACTGCTGTGACGTGTATTTCATCTACAATTTAAAAAAGATAAGCAATGATCATAATCTAAAAGAAAACTATATCTATTAGCTACACAATCCAAACGAAAAACTTTATTGAAGAACAACTCTTCCGTTAGAAGAGCCTCTAGTAAAAGTTTGCAAAGCTGATGATTTACTGCTCAAAGGCGTCATTTACTGACGAAATATATGATTATTTCTGTTATGAATCCATCAAAAAACATGAGGCATTACCGACACTAACAGGATATGTTGCACCGTTAGCGGCCACGAAATTAAATCGTCCATCAGAAACAAATGGTTCTGCAAAAAATTTGATAGACTTTTTGATAGATATTCACAGTCAAAAAACTCTGGCTCAGAGTACTTCAGATTTATTTTGTATATCATCCAAGATGGAGACATATACTGCCTATCGACTCTGTAGTTTTCTCGATGTTGGAACATCTACTCCTATTTTGAAGAACTGAAATGAATCACAAACGCAGTTTTTTATCTTTTTGCCTTTTATAACGGTGCCAGTTTTTTGAAAGCAAACAGATCTGTTCATTTTTGCACTTTATCTAAAACAACCATTGATTTAACGATGAACTTGAAACTTACTGCACAAATTGCTACAAAAGGGTGGCTTTCTCAATTCCGTATCAGATTCATTTGGCAAATCGATTCCAAAATGTACCAAAAAACAGTCTCCACCATAGGTGCCAACTGCTATCAGGTGTGAAAAATTCTTTAAATTTTCATGCAAACATTCAATTTCATTCTTTTTTGTTGCATCCAGAACTGTTACAACTTTAGTGATCTGAAAATAATTCTTCCAACTGCACATAAAATCGACATTTCAAAAATTTCCATTTTTTTTACTAAAATCAACATTTTCAAAAATTTCCATATATTTTTTCTTTACAGCCTTACCCATTGCTACGAAAATTTTTCCAAGGTTGCACAAAATTGAATGTCTCAAAATGAATAATTCAACCTAAACTTTCTTTCTTCTCTGAATATTTTCTTCTAATTTCCCTCAATTCAATTTGAAACTTGCAAACTATTGGTAGTTAAATATTAAATTTTAAAGTAAATGAAGAAAACCTTTCTGCGCATTAATATTTTCTTGACAATTCTACACATTTTGACACTATAATATGCCAGAAAATATTCATCATTTTGTTCATCGTTCACTGCCACTATCACACCCGAGCTTCCATCTAAAATGGAAAATTCGTAAAATAGTGCGCGTTCTACTTAGACTTGACTTCTTATTTTGAATTCAAATAAAGAATTTCATGAGATAATTCACGTGAATATTGATCTCAACTTTCTTTTCACGAATAACTGAAAAACGTCTCTACCATACAATTGCGCTGTCAGGGTGGATATCAGTAGTTGTAGTAAAGTGCATTGTAGTAAAATGCAACAATTTACCCTGAAATGGCAGACTGCAAGCATCGACAATATTACAGCTATTGCGAAATCCACAGGAATATAATATCGGTGATTTATAATAAATCTGTCGCATCAATATACAGTTTCTTTGAATGATACAATACCACTCTGTGTATTCCCCTGAAACTTTTCATCTTTTTTCAACAAGTTTCTTTTGCAAAACTTTATTTTGGGAATTTAAATTTGTTTTGCCTGGAAGAAACACGTTCAAAACTAATGTAGCTTCTAATCAAAAACGCTCCAACAATTCATGAAATTGCCGTGTAAAAAGTATAAATTTTACAACAGGGTAATGATGACATATCATTAACTTTGAAAATATGTTCAAGCATTAATTGATTACAAGTTTCAATTACTTGTTGCGTCAGAAATTACCTTGTTGCGTCAGAAATTTTCCCCATATTTCGCTTCTTCTTTTTTCGCTAACTAGTTTCACTTTCTTTATTATACCTTGCTGTTTTAGCATAGCTCTTCTGCAAGTAAACAAAATTTAAACTTCATTAAATTACATAAGAAATAACAAACAAACGAATGAGCAATAACTGCTATTACAATAAAATTTTTTAGAATATAGAAACTGTCCTTTAAAAAAATTGTTGATGAAACAAAAATTAATCCATCGTAACAAATTAGAGAATACATATCAAAATGGTCACAAAATGAGTCAAATTTAAGCTGTAGGAATAGGTCACAAGTCTTGGTAAGACCTCCCGTCAATTTCTTCAACTTCCGCCTTTACAATTATAATTCCAGAACCGAAAAACTTTTGCTTCGGAAAAACCGTCGAGAAAACGTCAAACAATAAGACACGCGAACGACACAAATTACACGCAAGCTAACTGAGAACTGAATAAACTTCCTTCTCGTCATTTGAAAAAGCGCTAAGAACATGATCTAAAAGAAATTCAATTCGCTACACATAGAAGAGAGAATGAACATATACATGATAGCAACTATACGGTGAAAGTTGTATAAAAAGAATGCACGATTGTGAAGAATTTAAGAAACAGTGTGAAAAACGTGAACCGTCTTGTTACCTTATACTGTGGATAGGATAACTGTATTGCTATATAAATAGGATATTTTATAAGATTATGTATGAATAAAGATATTTGTAATTGAGAAAGTTACCTATGATATTCTGTAATTTCGAAGGTTATCCATTGTATTATCTTTTTTTTTATTCCTGAAATTTGGAATGATCTTTCTAATTTTATATATTAACTTTATATATTTATATTTAAACTTAAAAATCTAATGTACAAATAAAAAAAAAATAAAAACATACCAATTTAATATCAAATATTCAGAAAAAAAGTAATAAATACAGGAAATCTAAAATTAGTTAAACATATAGTTAAACAAAATATTTTTTATTATAAATTGTTCAAGCACAAACCACATATACAACAATTAAATTATATTTTACTAAATGATTATTGTATACAAGCATTTATCATTCTCATCATTTAGTTAAGAGAAGAGGAATAACATTGAATAGGATATGATAAAAATTGGACTGAATAGGAATAAAACTGAATTGAATTGAATTGAATTGATTAAAGCAATGCAAAATTATATTTTCCATTTCACAAATCAAAATAAAGCTGCTTTATTTATGAAAGTGATTTTGTGGTTTGTGTCTTACGTGTACGTAAACGAATATGCGTCATTTCAATTTTACACATACATATATATTTTATATATTTATATATATATATAGAACTTTAAATTATTGCATCTACCATAATTATTCATTTGATAGTGCAATAAAATTCTTTGTAAATGATAGATTTTGAAATCATTTGTACTTTATTGAAGCAGATTGATCGGTCGATTAAGCGATATTCAGTGATGAATTCATTAGATCAGACTTCATTTTATCAAATTCAAAATGATATTAATGAAAGTATTACTTTCTATTGAAATCATAGAAAATATGAGTATACATTGGTTTAATCAATTTGATTCAATTCAATATAGTTTTATTCCAATTCAATCTAATTCCTATCCTATTCAATATCATTCCTCTTCTATTAACTAAATGATAAGAATGAATAATGCTTGTATACAATAATTATATAGTAAAATATAATTTAATCGTAGTGTATGTGGTTTTGATTAAACACTTGCTAGAATTTCAACAGTTTACTCGTACTACCGTTGAAAAATTACCAGCAATTTATCAAGAAATTGAAGAGGATCTAAAATTTAAAACAAACGATATAATTGCCGCTATTCAAGATCAGGTTCTTCAAAATATTAATTGAAGCAGAACAAAAAATTCTTCGAAAATATCGTTTTATTTACTAGTTAAATTGCATTCGAACAAATGGATATCATTGTTTGAAATTTTTGAGAATATTAAACATAATTTTTAATACTTATTATAATAATATAAATAATAGTTTTTAATATTTATTGTAATAACATGAATTAATAACGTGTTAATTAGCGTCTGATTAACAATAAAATTAGGAAATAGTTTAAAATTAGGAAATTTGTCACAAATTTTAAAAATCTATTAGCATTTTACAGACACTAATACCTACAAATTTGAATTTCCACCGTTTCTTTATGACATTTTCTTGGGGTACAATTATACTTATCGGTTATTATCTTACGTATTTCCAAGGTTATTTAATAATTATTGTGTTTTCAAAATGCCATACAATCATCATTGTCATTATTTAAAATGGTAATAGAAATATTTGTTTTAGAATTTGATTAGAGAATGTAAATGGATACATTTAAAGCTATTGCTCTTAAAATGAAATTCGTCTTATCTACTCTTCTATGCACTTATTCAAGCTACTCAAACAATGCTTGAGATTCATTTTAGGATCAACAATTTTACCATTACTTCTGGATTTTATCATTGATACATCGTCAGCTATATTACTTGCTTATATTATTATACCAACAGTGCTGTATTTCAACTTATCAAAATATGATGAATATAGTCGACAATCACGATTCATTTTACTTCTTGCTGCGTTATTTCAAGTATTTCTGAATATTTCCAATATGACCTTTCAGTTAATACTGAATATGGTCGTTATGTAAATAAGCTGAAGTAAATAATAGAATTAGAGCTTAGGGAATAATTTTATACCCTATCTGTTAGGATTCCAGACTTGAATTATTTCTTTACCCAAATTTTCAGGGTTTATTAGTAGGCTTCCTGTTAAGTAACTGTTCAACAGTAATCATTTTACCGGTTGAAGTTATTAATATGCTTTTTGTATCAATAATTTCACGGATTTTGGGTCACAAACTTAATAATGATCGACAGGCATATTATGGAATTATTAATGGAATTGGATTCATTGTAAGTTAAAAAATGATCAGGCCTTAAACATCCTTAATTTTAAACTTGATATTAGTTTAGTTCATCGTGAGACAGAGAGGTTTATCTCGTGTATTCTTTGTTTTTATTAGAATAGCATGAGCGACAACCGGCAAACACTTTTGCTTCTTTTCTATTTTACAATCCTATGTTTTGTAAATTTATTATTGATGCTATTCAAGGAACTAGCTAATATTAGCCAGAATTTTGTCCTTAAGAATAATAATGTGGTTTGAGTGAAATTCAATTCATCAAATTCCAGTTCCTCACTATCATCGGATATATTACACGGCACTTAACTAAAGCTTATTTATTTTCAACTGCTTCAGCTGTTCTCGCGTCACATGCTATCATTCAAATTTACATGCGTCGAGTTATGCAGGTAAAACGAAATTAAATTCTTAACCTATCCTTAAATTAGTGATAAAACATTTCAAATAAGTATGTGGTAAATAAATATATAATCATATCATGTTATCATTATTTTATCCTCAAATTATAGGTAGATTTATAAATAAATTAGATGCTAAATAAATTCACATCGAGATTGCTATTAGAATATTCAGTTTTCAAACTGAAAACAAGGGAAAATACTTTACATTTAAATGAAGAGAATTAAATTTACAAGTTTTTCAAGTAGATTTTAAACTACAATTGCCAGCTCATCAAAAGTTAAATTAATAATAATTCATGTTGCTATACTTATCTCATACAAAAAGGATAAATCTCTTCTATTCTGTTTATTAAATACAAAATTAAATAGTTTGATTCTATTCTTTTACACACAATTGTTTAGTAATAGACTTATTTCTTTGATCTCTAATAAGTTTATAGTTTGCAAAAGTCCAAGCTACTTATCATTTATATGAAACTATAATCTTATTAATATTGCCATCTAATCGGCAGTTCCTATACATTCGATCAATTCCATGATCGGATTATAAAACCGGAAATTTTTTCTAGTCTGAGCTTCGTCCCTCTTATATATTGTTAATGATGACAACATTATCAATTTACTGCCATACATTGGTTCAAATTCTTTTCGGTCAATATATCGAAGCAATTGGAAAACGTTGATAATAACGATCCATTCTTTTTTTGTAAATGATTTTGAAATATTTTGACACAAAAATGATTTGTAATGAATCTTTGAAACTATACGAAAACTTTTTTCTACTTTTTGTTGAAAATTTTCTTACACACTTATCTTAGCTTTTCCTCTCTTTTGTTGTTTAAATGTTTTAACATTTAAATTCTCTTATTTCATTTCTCAAAATTTAGTTTTTAAATATAAATAAAACGTTTTGTCTTTTGCTAATTATTGATTAAAAATTTCTTAATTTTGATTTTTTTATTTTTGTTAATTATTATTTGGAATAGTTTTAAAGAATATCTGGGAAAATATTTAATTCATTATCAGTAAAAGTATGAAAACAAAGATTTCTTTTGAAATAAATATTGTTGGAAGATTTTGATAAGATATTTAATGAAAATACCAAAAAAAGATTTTGAAAAATTATTCGATTATTTTTTAATAGAAGTATGAAAAAATTTTTCTAAAAACAAAAGCTAATTAATTTAAGACTAAGCAAAAAAATATTTTTTATATTTTCTCTATATCGGTGATACAATGACTTATTCAAAAGCAATCATATCATTAAAAAATATAATAATATTTTTAATCTTTTTCCTATCTAATTGATAATAATAATAATAACGATAACAATAAAAAATAATAATTAATAATGGCAATGATAATAATGATTAATAATAGTACGAATAATAATGATAATTGTTATAGTTAAAAATAAATAATATTAATAGCAAAGGTTGCTAAAGGAACAATTAACCTTGAAATAGTCAGTCTATCGTTCATATTGTTCGTTTTAATAAATAAATCATTCGTTACTGACAGTTCTCTTTTCTCTTTCTTTCTTTTTATCAAATTATAAAAAAAATTTTTGAGGAAAAAGAGGAAAAAGTTCAGTTGAAACGATGAAATTTTTTCGCTTTTACTGAATTAAACATAATATAATGCAAAATATTGTTGTGATCATTAAATCCTTTATGTGTAATAAAATTTTGTTTACCCAATCAAATGAAAATTTCATTTTTCA